TAATGCTTGATATGGGTAGATTGATCCAAAATGACAACATGACATGTCATGACATGGAACGACCAGACAGCAGGCAAATGTTCAAGAGAAAACGTGCTCCACAAGCCCCCCCTCCCCTCTCCCCCTCCATCCCCTATATCTGATTCACAAGGCAAAGAGAAGACACCCGCACGAAAGCGATCCCACAGTAGATGCGCGAGATACGTACCTCGATACTGCCACCCCTCCCTCCGATGACAACCCACTCGCCATCCAAACCCCTGATCCGGAGATGCTGACACCCGGGCGGAATCCCTGTGATGGGCTCGAGCTTGGCTTTGAGCTGGGAGATGGTCCATGATGGGTTGATGCGGCGTTCGGCGCTGATCTGGGGGTTCTTGTCGTCTTTGGAGGCGGAGGGGACGGTGACCTGAAGGGGGATGTCGGGGGCGGGGGGTTGGTATGCCATGGGTAGGGTTTGGTGGATAGGGAGATGGATGGATGGATGGATGGATGGATGGATGGATGGATGTTCCCTGGGAGAGAGGTGGGATTTGCTAGGTTATTTGCTGGGGATATGGAGAGGAGTGTGTGTTATTGGTTGGTCTCTTTCATGGCTGGCTTGGTGTAAATTCCGTGGCGACGTCAAGGTTTGTGCGGATGATGGAGATACTGACATGGACGGTTTTACCTTGGAAGCCAATTTCTTGAGGTTTCAAGGGTGTAAAGATATCAACTCAGAACACCTCTCATGTATTGTGGAAACTTCCAGAGCACTTCCAGGGCACTTCCAGGGACGCATGACAACAATAATCCTTGCAAAGTTCTACTACCATACTAGAGCAGGCTGAGAGCCAGCCAATCGCGAGATGGAATACAGCCCAACCATGCCGAAACCTCAAGAGACCTACTCGACGACAAGACCACTGGTCGACTGCTGCAGCCTCGGACCAGCGCCCAAACCAAGTACAATCCACTCGGTTCATGGCAGCCTCTGGGAAAGAAGAGGGAGATAACAAGTCAGCCCATGGTATCTGGCCGTAGATCTTAATGATGCCTGGCAGTTAAGTGAATCCGTTCTCTGGAGCCATAGACTTCGAACTTGTCGATCTTCCATATCGTACGTACTCTTCCCGGAACGCCAATGCCCAGAGGAGGCATTAAATGGTGTCGAAAAGTCGTACCACAACATTCAACAATATACCACCGCCCCACTCATGTCTTCTCATGTCTTCTCATCCCTAGGAACTGTTTCACTCGCCTGACTGAAAAAGATCCTCGCCGGCTTCTCCAACTCGTTCTCAATGGAGTACCTGTTACCTGTCCCACTGGTCAGTCAAGCTCCAAGCAAAGCACAAGACGTCCTTGACCGGCAAGAAAGAATGACCGAACATACCTCGCGGAACCTGAAAAACACCACCTTTGCCCACACTGAACCTCTCACACTCGCCCTCCTCGACTCCCGCTCCAATCCGAACCGTAACCCGCCCCTTAAACACGAAAAAACACATATGCATCGTCCTAGAATTCTTCGGCATCTTCATACTTCCTGGCGCTAGATCAAGCATCCCGCTCCCCAAGAACTCATTGCTGATTAGCTTTGCGAACCGGAAACCCGGCGCATCCTTGACTTCGCGTGTAAGCATCGAGGACGGATGGAATGCTAGATCGACCACTTCAGAATTCTCTACGTCTGTTTGACCAGGCTTGACCCAGGCATTGACCTGGCCGCGGTAGACGCCGACTTCCTTTTCCCAATCTTCTTCGTTGGGATCTTGCTCGTCGGAGGAATCTTCATCCGCCGCCTTTTTAGTTTGCTTTCTCTCGCTGGTGATTTCCTTGATGGAATTGAGAGGAATACGTGCGCCTAATTCTAGTCCTGCTGCACCACCCTCGTCATGTACGCATTGCTCAGCGTTCCAGTAGGCTATTGGTTTGACCACTGCACGGCCTGAACGCACGTCGTCTGCACCGCCTTTTCTTGACTTTTCGCGCTTCAGGACGTAGAGGGTCTTTAACTTGCCGGGTCTTGCTTTCACTTTTTCGATAATCTGATCTAACTCTGTCTGTTGACGCTGTGAGAGGTGAGTGTTCGCGTCTTTGATCAAGCCTGGAATTCTTGGAGGTATCAGCTGTGAGGAGGCTTGCACAGCAGCTGGATTTGTTGAAGACTCTAAGTTGATGCTTGGACCAACTTTCTGTTTCCCTTTTGCTCTTGAAGTGTCTGCCTTTGTTGTACGAGGCTTTTTTGCTGGTTTCTTTGCAGACATTGAAGTCGGCTCTGCTTCTATGTCCTCAGACTTGCGCTTCCTGCCCTTGCTCTGTGGGGCGGTCGGCTTCTGATGCAAGTCCTGATTATGCAGTGGCTGAACGCTTTCGGCCCCTTTGGCTTTCGGTTCTTCAACAGATCTTGATGCAATATCTTGCACAGGGGAAGCATCCTGGATGGTATTCTCAATACTGCTTAGGAATTCCTCCATCTCGTCATCACCCATAGGATTGTGTACAGAGTCGTCATCTCGGGTAGGCTGATTAGGCTCTCCATTCGCCGTCAGATTATGTTCTTGTGATTCTCTTTCAGCGGCTTGATTTGTCCATTTTTCCCCTTGACCCTTTCCAACACCCTCGTTACTTGTGGCTTTCGAGTTTTCGACCGCCTTCATCAGCGCTAGTGCTGGTGCTGAGCTTACTGCCTCTCCGTTGGCCATAACCTCTTTAAGAGGTTGTTTTTCTGGGCTGGGTACAAATCTTCGAGGTTTAACCCGTATCGGAGTAGGTGATGCAGAGTTCTCATGGTTTTTCGCTTCTACTACTTGAACAGCTTTCGACGGCGACAGGATATCGATACCATTGCTCCTTCGCGCACTGCCGCTGATCCCACTTTTCCTCGGAGAAGTAGATCGAGGTGGGGGTAAAGCCGGGGCACCAAGAGATCTGCGCGCAGAAAGAGTCTGGGTGGGTGTGAGTCCAGAACCTGTCAAAAGCCTGTATCAGTAACAGCTTCAAGCATTTAGAATCAGGACAGAGGGTAATGATAAAGCATAATAATACGCGCTTGCTGGCTGATCATCGGCCGTTCTGCACATACTATCCATGCCTGACATCTCCTCTGAGACTTCCAACGTACTGTTCTGTGCATCGATATTGTTTGCACCAGGATGCTGCTTCACTGGTGATGGTTTGACTGGCGAGGAGAATAATCCAGTGATCTCTTCGAGCCCGTTCTCGTCTAGCTTTCCTTGTGGTAGAGTGACTCCTGTTCGCCTAAAGAGTCATGAGCAAATACTCCTATACACAACCTTAGATTGGTTACGTACCGTCCTGCTGTTCCGACTGCTGAATAGTCACTATCGCGTTCGCGCCTCACGGCCGGGCGTGGTACCATTATCGAACAATTACTGAGGAGTAGTCACGGCGGCACGATGTAAACAGCAATCCAATCGTTAATGCTTTGTCAACTGGTTAGCAATAGAGTGCATTGTTGGCGAATGCTGTCCCTGGAAGCTTGCTGTTGTCCATTAGCGATATCACTAGCAATGCTGGAAGCCAATGTTTTGATCTAACCTCATCCGCCAGAACACCTGAAAAAACACGCTAACCCATATTTGAACAGACGCGTTCACCACTTCATGCGTCGAGACAGGACAGAAGGACAAAACCACTAGCCACACCTTACTTCCCCTATGATCTAGCAATTTGAGCATGGATCCAACAACAGAAGACACGCAGCCTGACGCATTAGAAGTGATATCCGAATTCACTGTATTTATCCCGCCTTCCATCCACCATGAGAGCCTGATATCAGGCGCCTCATATGCACACTACACGCCCATCCCACCACTAATCACAACCTCCAAAGATGATGCCCCAGGGACAGAATGTGTCCTCGGTGTTGACGAGGCGGGTAGAGGACCAGTCATAGGGCCTATGGTCTACGGTGCATTCTATCTTCCAGTTGAGCTTCACCGCTCCCTTCTCGCCGAGACACATCACTTCGATGACTCCAAGGTCCTGACTCCTGCTGTACGCGCAAGACTGATGAAAGATGTGTGCACTGCTGGAACTGATCTACACAATGCGTGCGGCTGGGCCGTCAAATCGTTAAGCGCACGAGATATCGGCGCTGGAATGCTGAAGAACGGGGGATCCTACAACTTAAATGCGCAGGCTATGGATGCCACGATTGAGATTATCAGAAAAGTCATTGACTCGGGTGTGCATGTCACGGAGGTCTACATTGACACTATTGGCAATCCCGGGGTCTATCAGAAGAAGCTACAGCGTATATTCCCAACGATGAAGATCACGGTGGAAAAGAAAGCAGACAGCCTGTACCCTTGTGTCAGCGCCGCCAGTGTGGTCGCGAAGGTGACCCGTGATGTTAGTTGTGATGTCCTTTATCAAGAGGTCATGAAAAATACTCCTGAGGCATCAGCAGAGGAAGCAACTTGGGGATCTGGCTACCCATCAGACGCAAGGTGTGTAGCGTGGCTCAAAAATCAGATGGACAGCCTCTTTGGATGGGGCAACGAATGCAGATTCAGCTGGGGAACTATCAAGGACATGATTGAAATCAAAGGTTCAGCAGGCGTGAAAGTCGACTGGCCAGTTGAGGACGACGAAGACAACGCATGTCTTTCCGACTACTTCCTCAACACAAATGCGGGAAGCAAAGCCGCAAGCGAAGCAGATCAATTGAGATTGTGGTTTGGATCGAACGTGGGGCAGGAGGCTTTCTAAGCCGCTACGTAACAGAGTTTTAATCAGTCGAGATTCTCTTCCTGATGCTGCTGGCCGTTGTCGCCATGGCCCCACTAACGAACCAAGGCATACCTGCATACCACAATCGATCGATCTCGATCAAATAGAGAATCTTGCAAGCCAGCAGCCTGGTTGCCATGATCGATTCTGGCCGTGAGTGGATTGACGATTCACAACTCCAAATTGCTTTAAGGCGGGTGAGCGATGATTAAAGACCAAAGCACGTCTCTCATCGATCAGCATAAAAGCATAGAGACAGGTTATGTTCAGGCCATTACAGGAAAAGAAGCATGTATTCGGTCACCCACTACCTGCGAGGAAGTGTTGACCAGTTCAATGACTAAAAGACCCATCAAATGTTTATACGTCATCTCAATGAATGTGGTCAGCTCCAGTGAGCAGTCTCAAGTCTCTAGCTACACAATGACACGACCTCGCCTACTGTGTATGCCTTTCCGTGCTGGGCATACACGCCAGAGGACATTTCTTGGGGCTGGTCGGATGTACCGGTATAAGGGTCGTCCCTACCCGACAAGTACACCCAGCGCCACTTCCAATACTTTCAGTTTTCTAGATGCCGCTCACGCTCCGGCCGGGTGACTGTCGAGGCAGATTGCCTACGCACCGATCTGGCGAGCTGGGTAGTCTGAAGACTCCATAGGAGAACATCCTAGAGCTTTGATAATGCTGGGCCTTTTTCCGAAGCCTCCAAAGCTCGCCGAAGCTCAAATCCAGCATGGCACCCCCGTCTTTTCGGTCCAAGACTTTGTCTTGCCTATTTTAGCAGGAGGAAACCCTCTGAAATCATGTTAAAAATTACCATCAACCTGTGTTTAGTTTAAGCTTGATCATGATATGATCTAGTTTGAGTAGAAATATGCGGCTAGGGACATTTGAAAGCCAATGAATTTGTCTTGTTTTTAACGTCTTGATTCAAAATCATTTCCATATGGAGGTCGAATCAATGGTCATCCAATGGAGAATTCTGCTAACTTGCCAAGGCAAGAAGCGGCATCGTTTTCAATGCCCTTCCACTCCACGTAACTACGTGGCTCTGGTCTCCTTTCCAGGAGTGCGAGAATGTTGACTGGCCAAGTGATTAATCTGGCGGCTTCTATCCACATTTGGCCGTCTGGTTCGGCTGAGGGCCCAGATGGTGGGATTATAACCGGCTGTGTTAGTAGCCCGAGGCTGCGTATTCCGAATTCGATAACACGGTGCAGGAGCTGCGGAGGAGATTTGATCAAGATGTTTGCCACAACCGGGATCGGGTGTTGATGTCCGAGGACGATGGTGGACATTGAGGCCAGATAGCTCAAGAACTGAAATGTCAAGTCTCCGACTCCTGCTCTAGCCAAGATCATCATATGTCCGAATAATGTTTGCATCATATGCACATCGTCCTGTTGTAGTAAAGGTCTGATAGAGTTAAATGTTTGATCCAAACATGAAACGGCTTGTGTGTATTTCCTCATTCGCAAATTTACTACACCAATAGACAGGGACCAGTGAGATTCCTCGGGGTAGACCATGACGTGATCACAATAATTTCTCCCTTCAATAATCCGTAGTAAGGGGCACTTCGAGTCGCGGTAAGCATGTACTGTTCTGTGCACCATCTCGATAGTCAAATCTTCTTGTCTTGGCGTAAGGGAGAATGGGATGATAGGACTGAGAATCGGGTTCATTGCTTCAATGTTCGTAGTAGCCAGACTCCGTTCCGATCGCTCATACATAAATCCCAAGTCTGTGGATGGCCGTAAGGTCTGGGTCTGGGCCGTCTGCTGACTCTCCAGAGCCCATTCCCACGGGTTTTTGATACGCTTCCGGCGAAGATAACGATCGATTTCAGCCGATGTGACATAGCGCGATCCGAGCTGAAAGCCGGGTACTGGAGTCAATCCGCTTCTTTCTCGCTCGAGTGCCAGTCGCAACGCAGCTTGGATTTCACTCGCTTTGTTATGTTTGTTAAGACGCCAGAGCCGAACACGGTCCTTGTACATCCTCTCACTGCCCCGAGGTGTTAGCATGTCAAGGTTGGAGCTGATAAGGCGAGTGCTTACGAGGCATGGAAGTTGTGCTTGTGGGCAAGTATCTCTCGGACTTCTTTCAGAGGCTTGTTCTGCTCGAAGTACAACTTGGTGATGGAGGGCCGCTGTTGCTCCCATTCGATAGCAGTAGGTCCAGTTGGGGGTGCCATCTTTGGTCAACATGGCTCCAGAGCTCAAAGGGAATTCCCTCCTCAATATATAGATTGGTGGCAGACAAGCATGTTAGCGAGGCTGTGGTTGTGATTGGGCAGAACAGAAGGACGGCCCTGCATTCTTAGTGCGCCAGCACCAGTGCTGCAAAGTTGTACTTCTGTCGAAACGCCTTGGCACGAACTTCGCCCTTGCAACCTGCAGCAGTCCACATACGTAGTATACCCAATCAACCACATCTCCATCAAACAGTGCGGCTGGCTGGCTGGCGCAATTGTTCCAGCTCTGTGACAACTCTGCCTCTCTTCTTAGGCCATTCGCCTCTTCGGATGTATGTTTGATGCATATAATGTCATGCTGTCTGGGTTTTACGACAGTGATGAGGAAAGTGAGACCAAGAAAATGACACAATATGCGGCCAAGCCAAATATCGATGCCTCTTTTGCTAGAGGTTTCCGTCCTTCCTTGAGGTAATCACCTCGTGTACGTGTTTAACTAGGTTCGTTCCGCAGGAGCATTCAGTAGTATTTAATTGCTATTGCTCTTGAAATATCATTCGAGATATGCTAATGGTTCACCGTCCTCTCTCAAGTCCTTGCGGGGTATGCAGAACGCACTCTCGACCCTCTTTCATGGCTCTATTCTATGTCTTATCGCTCCCTTGCAAAATCAATTCTTGTCAAATTCCTCACATAACTCCCCATCAAGCGCCAACCATGTCTTCGCCAGCTTCAACCCTCTTAATCTTTCCTCCTCGATCTCCTCCCAGTCCCAAGCTTCTGCGTCCCAGGCAGAATTGTCAGCGTCGCTTACAGAAAGCGCATGGGCAGCGGATTCTGCTGCTGCTGCCGTCTTCTCGTCCAAGACCACTCTTCCCTCAATTGCGGGGGTCTGTGCTGATTCGAGTCCCTCCTCTGCATCTTCTGCTTCGTCATCCTTCCGTTGCACGTCAGCTAATGACAACTTGATTTCTCCATTACACGTTTCGGACCCAGCTTGATCGGGCTGCTTCTTAGGCAACCAGCCCCCCATCCTCAGGATCCTGTCCGGCTTCACCGTAAACCTCCCTTTCTTAACCACATACTTGCTCAGCCCCACTGCACATAGCTCTTCCCCTTTGTCAGGCCCGTTAGTCCCATCCACCCGCCCCTTCTTCGTCCTTACAAAATAGCTCACGATGATAGCCCACTTCTCGTCCCATCCTAACAATCGACTCCGCACCCATACCTTCTCAAAAATCCCAATCTCCTTGCGGAAAGTCACATGAACAGCCCCCAGAGCCACGACCATCCTTCCCCGGTGCCCTTCCTCCTCAAGCTGGGCATTAACCTTCTTGAAGCCCGGACTGATAATCCGAGTCATGAGTTTCGTGCGCGAAACATCCAAATCCGAGAAGTATGTCGAGTTGGACTTGTGAAAGTTGTAGTCCGTTTCCAGAAGGGGCGTGCGGGTGGAGATTTGCACTGGGGTGAAAAGTGGGTGGGTCAGTATTTTGCGTGTAGATTTACCGTTAGATGGTTCACGCGACACGATCTGCTTCGGCGGCACAGGTTTGCGAGGCATGTTTCTAAAAAAGTGGTAGAAGACGCGGACGTGCCAAGCAAAAGGTAGGGTTTTGATGTTGGCGATCAGGTAGATAAGTATGAGGGTTGTGCGCCATGATAATCGGAAGGGGTGGACTGCCATCCTTTCTAGAACAGTGCCAGCTCAAGAAGAGAAAACCGTTTTTGAATTTGTAGCGTGTTGAAGGATGATTTGGCCAGGTCGTTAAGAATTAGTAATTGATGCATATATCGAATCCGCCCAGACCTCCTTCACATTGAACTTGGGAATTGGGCGCGCTGAATCACCCTCGACTGAGGAACGGCGACGGCTCTTGATACCATCAAAAGTATGTGTCTGCCCGTAGAAGTCAGTGGGCTATCACGGGGATTCGGTGGGATTGAGTAGCAGGAATTTCTCAGGCCAGTTGTTCTTTTCAGAGGTAAGCTTTAAGTTGTGTTTGGTAGGATGCGCCCAGGTTTCCGTACCTCGGTACATCATCTCGAGTACAATCTAGGCTGTAACCGGAGTACTAGTAGTTTTCGTGGTCTCGGAAATTGGGTATCACCGGCTCCGATAACGCGAAGGCATTGGCGGATCTCTCGTCGGCGATTAGGAGTTGCCTTCGTGGGACCTCTGGTGCATGGTGAGAGAAACAAGCTCCATAGTAATGCATTTCCATTGTTATTGCGGGTTCTTCCGGCGATGCCTAAAAGTACGGTGACCCAAGTTCTGTGGACACTCACAATACCTAGATAGTTGGACATAAGATTTTTTTTCCCCACTTCCAATTACGGCCTCCATCCTGAGCGGCGCTGCTTCAACCTGAGCTGAGACTGAGTCGAGACTGAGCGCGCCTGAGCAGCCCTGAGCAGAGGCTGAGCAGGTGGGAGGAGCTGGCAAGACCCTTGCCTTGAACTCCTAGACCACCCATTGCGGTGGGACACATACTACGGCTACAGGCCTAATTTTTGCATCATCGCTATCTTCACCTTCACTTAGACGAGAAGCCTTCTTGATTGCCGCCGGAGCAAAGGTCTTTTGCTCGCTGGTGGGCGGAGGCGTGGCTGTAGGGGTTGGCATCCCATTGACGGATGTTGCGGATCCGTGGCCGCTGCCTTTTTGGGCGTACATTGGTCTGGGAATTGCTGCGTATGAACCGTTATACCCGCTAGAGGTGAGTCTCTTCTTTGGTGCTGCTCGCTGACGCGCCACATTCGTGTCTACTACTTGAAGCTGCTCCTGGTCCACTGTGAACTGGATGGGCGCAGAGGCGGCCATGGTACGCAGGTAGTACATTCCCGTCTTCAAGCCAAGTTTCCACCCAGCGAAATGCATGGAGGTGATCTTGCCCATGGTAGGCTCCTTGAGATGAATATTGAGAGACTGGGATTGGTCAATGAATGCACCTCGATCAGCAGCCATCTGCACGATAGTTCGTTGGCTGATCTCCCAAACAGTCTTGTACAATGCTTTGATATCAGCAGGAATGTTGGGAATATTTTGGACTGAGCCGCCATCAGCAATGATTCTGTTCTTCATGTTGTCGGACCAGAGACCGAGATCAACAAGATCTTTCAACAGCCATGGATTGACGACCTGGAATTCTCCAGCCAGAACACGACGAGAGTAGACTGGATACAAATAAACAGCAGCGAAGGATTGATATTTATGCAAGATGCTGCACCTGCTTATGCTGCTAAGGGTACTATTCGAGATCTTCGTCAACGTGGCATATCTTGTGTCCAATGGCCTGCATATTCGCCTGATTTAAATCCAATTGAGATAGTATGGAATTGGATGAAAGATTGGATACAAGAGCGCTATGGAGATACTCTACACAAGTACGATGAGTTACAAGCAGCTGTTAATGCTGCATAGAATGCTGTGCCCTCTGAATATCTCAAGGAGTTGCTTGAGTCAATGCAGGAGAGTTGTCAAGCAGTTTTGGATGCCAATGGAAAACAAACTCGATTTTAGAGACTAGTCCTAATTAAGCAATTTTGTGCACATCTATACTTAATTTTGCATAGTAGGTTTTGTACGGATACTAGCGTTTTCGACCAGGGGGGGTGCAAAAATTAGGCCTGTAGCCGTAGTACTACGGTACTGGGCATAAGTAGTCGTAGCACAGCGCTAGTAGCAGCTAGTTCGGATACAGCGCCACATCAATACCTAGAAGCTTCTTTGGCCATTGTTCATATCAATTGGCCACACCAGTACCGCTAACTGTTCAAGGCTTAGATGTCTGGTTCACAGCCTGTTTTGGTGCAAAAATACTAGTGCTGTGCTACGAATACTTATGCCCAGTACCGTAGTAACCAGGGCCGCGTTAAGCCCCTTTAGGGCCGGAGCTAGGTGCCAAAATTATTGATAGTTCTCGCATTAGTCGTAAAATTATAATACTAACCCTGGATTGGTGATGTTACTTTAAGTGGTTTAGTGCTTCAGCTGAGTTTAATAGCTTAAGGTTGTACCGTGTACAGCCAAATCCTTGGCATCACGTGACCGCACTCTTTGGCACGTGTCATCGGACCATGTAGCAGCCTACTGACACCTACGTTAGCTCCAGTCTACCGTATATATGAATAGCAGACCACCCGTGTAACCAGCCCGGTCAGCCTCAGCTGGCTGATCATGTACAATATGTCCATCCATTGATTTTGACAACTCAAAAAATTGCTTCTTTTGTTCATCCGCAGCATCGGAAATCCATGCTCTGTTTTGCTCCCGCACAGTTTGAAACTGGATCTTAGACTGTGACTTGGAGAAATCTTGAACTCGGCCGTGGCCTGCTCCTTCCACCATGCCGATAGCTTATCATGACTCATCTTCAGACTCCGACTATGGAGGTGCTGGGCGAGTTAGGAAGCAAGGAGATCCGAAACGCTTTGTTCAGCATACTAAAAATCGCACTCGAGTCACCATTCAAAGTGCACGTGTGGAACATCATGCTCGAGACCCAGTCATCTCACATACGCGCCGATCTCAGTATTCTCGGCAATTTGACCAACACTCAGGTATTCCTGACTCAGGCACTCATCGCCCAGCCTTTATCCCAGTGTTTCCACGAGAACAGCTCGAAGAGCGGAGAAAAATACCCCCTGCCCAACCCATGGCTTCTGGTGTCCAACCCATGGCTCCCCCTGTCCACAACATGCCTCCCCCTGTCCAACACATGCCTCTCCCTGTCATCCACTCAGCGCCCGCACAGCGGATAGGAAGACACCATAGCCTAGGCCCTTTGAAGCCGGCAAGGGATTATGAAGATTTGGACTACGGGGAGAGTGTCATGCGGCGCGGCGTAGTAGCTCCGATACAAATTTTAGATGATTTTGAGGGGCCGAAGCGATACGGGGAAAGTGATTCAGAGCCAGGCTCTGAGTATAGTTTACCTGTTAGACTTCACTTTGGTCACAATGACATTCCCTCTCCACCGACATCAGTACCCGCACCACAGCTTGGCTTTTCGGGACAGGCATCTCTGGGTAAAAGCTCATACTACCAGACGGTCATCAGCCAAGTCCTCCATTCTAGATATGCTGAAAACGGTATAGAGGAAGAGTCTTGGGGAGAACTGACAATCCAACCAATAGACCATCGATACCCAGCAAACTCATCTGTGGATCTGTTTAGATGGGTCCACCTTCACAACGAAGTGATGCACTTCGGCTCTTTCTTAGACACTGTCTCAGCATATCTAGAAGATGCCGGGAAGGATAAAAACGACACCAAGATGATGCTAGAGAGAGTACGAAGACAAGCAGAGAAGCCCCTTTCTCATCTCAGTGGGAAATATCTTGATCCGGTGCTGATACAAGATACATTTTTTCCGAAAAATGGTCCAAGCGGAAAGTCCAGTCATAACATTCTTTTCCTCTGCTTGCCGTTCTTTTCACTAGAAGTGTATTCGCCTAGCGTACTTCCAGAAAAGTCCTTTGCTCATCCACTCAGATCCCTCTTACAGAGTCCTTATTCCTCAATAGCAAAAGGGCGTGATTTGAAACAAGCAGTCTGTATGCTGGGGAATGTGTCCAAAAACGTCTGTTTTCACGTACCTCAGTTATGGTGCTTGATGGTCGAAGATGGTGGGTAACACTCTAATTGACGGCACTGTTTTAACAAGCTGCTAGACCTGATCTTCACGTGCGCTCGACATCCTACATCCGTTCTGTTAGGGAATAGGCTGAAGATGACAAAGTTGCCTCTTGCGTCTCCGAATCATCAAAATGTGATACAGGTTTCAGATGATGCCGGAACGGTCTGGTTGTTGGATCCGTCTGAATGTAAGATGTGGTTTGTACGTGGCTGTACCATCATCGCCGGATACTCCCAATGGCTGCTAAGTTCACTATGATAGGCATTTACTTCTGCCTTCGAAGAATTGAGCTCAGAATTCGAAACCGAATATGACATACTGCTCCATGGAACAAGGATTGAAAGTAGGGACTGGCCCAGGGTTCTGAGAGAAGCTGAAGGGGGCATTGTACGGCTGGTGATTCGCCAAAAGTATGTTCTTACTGGCTTGACATAACCAAGCTGACTTGGAAAGATTCAGACGCCGCTCATATCGCAATGATACTCTCACTTCGACTTCCAGTAAAGACGGAGTTCTCAATGACTCATCTGACAAAAATGCAGGCGGCAACAACGAGGATGCTAATGTACTGATGACATCAGGCAGTGATTCCGGATCTAGGTGTAAACCCCCAGTTGGCTCACATTCTAGTGGATCAGATCTCCGAAGCCCTGTGACACAACATCTACGTTGTATTGTACTTGACAAAGAGATTTTTACCAACTCGAGAGGGTTATACTTAGACAGACCTGATGGCTGGTTTTTTGAGTTCGATTATACTGATGGGCAATTGGTGGATGCTGTAGAGAGCATCTGGGAGCTTACAGAACCGCCTTTATGGCAGCGGATTATAGATACTCCTCATTTTGTCAGGGATTTTGAAATTGTTGACCAAGAAGGACACAGAGGAGTCATGTTTCAGCTGGACTCCAAAGCCGATGCCGACCAAGAGATTGTTCTTACAGGTGCACAGGTCACCGAAACACTCCGGATTGGAAGGCGCTGTTGGTGTGACAGTTTCATCAGACCAACTACTTCAGTCATCTACTTCCGGAGAAATACCCCTGCGGGGCCATTATATGAGCAGGAATTTGACTTTCGTGATACTGGTCTCGACAAGCAGCCATTGAACATGGTCTACTACCCAGTCTATTTGTCTGGTGCTACAACGTGTGAACTCAAGAAGGAAGCTGCTGTATGGGTCGATCCTGCAACGCGAAAAGTCACAGCTCACATGGAAAATCATCGAAAGTCTGCCAAGCTCAAGGCGTCTCGCAAACGAAATTGCCACGTCGATCACAACGTAAAAGACTCAAGCATTGACATAACCACAGGACGGGCCTTTGGTGAAGCTGTTCGAAGTGTTCTCGCGGGAAAGAAAATTGGGAAGAAAGCACGCAGAGGCACATTCAGGCAGATTGACCCAACAAAAACAGGGGTTCAAGAAACAGGTGTTGCCAAAGCAGCCAATTATCATGCAAGTCGAGTGCATGGCGATCAAGCATCCGATGAGCTGTGCTCTCCAAGAACACCGGAGTCAAAACCCTGTCCATTGTTATCCGAAGGACGTAGAGCGAAAACAATCAGAACGCAATCTCAATCCTTCATATTGCTTCCGTGGCTAGCGGGCGTAACGAACCACCAAGATATTCGGGCGGGGTCTGCTGATAAAGGTGGTCAGACCGCAGTAGAAACAATTGATGCTGGGAAAGCATACTCAGATTCAGATCACCTGGTCAACGTCAACAGACTCGATGAGATTCTGGCCGATACGGACGAGTTCTTAATGAAAAAGGCAAAAAATGACGAACGTAAACTTTATGGTCGGTGCCCAACGGCTGACCTGAAGTCTTTGGACGATTCTATTTGGGAAGCCAGGATTAAAAGTCGCAATCAGTCCCTGGATGGACTTCGAGATTGCATCAAATTTGTGCAAAAGACTAAGAAATTGCTACGATTTTTCGTTGACATAGACTGCGGTGCTTGCAGTGTACAAAAATGTCTCGGGGGTCTTCAACTTATTGTTGAAGTTTGCGGGGTGCGTGAAGATAATCTGTACCAAGAGTTATTTTACTGACCATGGGTTTTAGCCGAATCATTTATTCAGCAGCCAGCTGCTCTCATCTTTCCTTGGCCTTGAGAAGACTGTCAAGAAATTACGTGACAGACTTACTGGTGAGAATGGTCCCTTGGACTTGCCTGCGAATATCCGTCAAGTCTCGGCGCAAGATTTTCTGCGCGCATGGGTCAATTTCATCATGGCCGTCGTCCACATAGCAGACATAGCAAACTGTCACAGGTCAGACGGTCGAGGCATTATTGTTGCGGATTCAGGTGTACAGATATTGAGAAGCAGGTCCCTTTTGGAAGCTGGATTACTATCAATGCGTCAAAGCATGCATTCAAGCGTTCTGGCCGAGAAAGTGGCAGTCATGCCTCTCGGAATGATCTCGCTCATCGTCGCTCGGGTGTTGACGGACTTGACTGACGACCGTCCTGACATTCTTTCAACATATTCGACTTACCTGGAGCGACTTGTAAGTCCCAAAAGGTAATCAAGGTTAATTAATAACTAACCGATCGACCTAGGAACTGGACATTCACTCGGACCCCCTGAACCGAGCACACCAGGAGAAGATAAGTCATCTTACCCAAGAAATAAGAGCTATTATTGCTGTTCTTAACGATCAACTAAATGTGCTGAACGGTATCGATTGTAGCATGCAACAAGACCTAAATCCAAACGCAGAATCAGTTACCCGGCGCAAACGAAGCCAGCAAGCACCTCAGTCAGCAGTTATTGCCGAATGCATTTCCTGCGTGGCAGCCAGGACGCAAAGCTTTCAGGAGATGAAAGAACGCGCAACGGGACTGGCAGAATGGGCAAGTAATCTTTCTTTATCCCATTCTTTGAAATCTTGGATCGTCTCTGCTTACATCATTTGCTCCTAGAACATACGCATGATCGAATCCAACAAAGATCGACAAGAGTCCGCGATCCTCGCATTCACAATCGTCACGATCATCTTTCTTCCCCTATCATTCGTGGCTTCCTTCTTCGGCATGAACACAGCCGACGTACGAGACATGACTCAGTCTCAATGGGTATACTGGGCCGCTGCTGTCCCAGTTACTGCCCTCGTTATTGGCCTCACACTCCTCTGGGCTGGAGAGGTTAATCTGGCACGTTCTGCTTTTCGTCGACTGTTAGAGAAAGTGAAGAGTTTCTTTGGCGGTCGAGCCTCCTTCGCATGAGGCTGTAACCGCTACGGGTGGGTACATTTCCCCCCAGCTCTGTCTTCAAGGTAATACAGCGAAAATGGTCTACCCGATCTACCCATCTCGGATCCAGTCTCTTCCCAGGCCAATATTCGAGTCGTATTAATCTTTCGAGGATATGTACGGGTCGAAAACTTTTCATTACTCGGGTGGATGTGAAGTCACCTCTAAATAATTAATTACAAAAATGGCGAATCTTGTTCACTCTGTTCTAGTGAGTGCAGAAAGCGAATTTGATCTCAAGAGGGATGATTTGCAATAGGTGTGCATTGGAAAAGGAGAAGCTCTGTACAGGATAAACCCCAAATCAACCTTTTTGACATCGCCTCTGGTCTCGATCCAGTGTGGATTACGACGGACGGTTGAAGTGAAACGGCCAATTGAAATTTCAACCCCGCAGCTATTAAGGAGAGCCATTTTCTCTACAGAATAAGGAAGTCTCTAGTTATAGTAACAATATCTTTCTAGATTATTAGAGAAAATGCATAATATCTCATTTGATTCTTAAGCTATTTTATCATTCTAACCTTTTCTAGATAGCCCTGAGTTAGCTCTATCTGAATCAGATTATTTGAAATTATTCTCTCTAAATTAGAGCAAGAAGCAGCAAGAAATAGTTTTCTACTATAAAGAATAGTATTTTAATTTTGATAGGGTACGCTTAGCAAGATTCTGCAGTCTTGGCCCCCTAAAGCACTGCTTATTTTCCATCATAAACTTAAGGAGGCAGGAAAGGGGAACCTTTATCTAATTAGAAGGCTGATTATCTAGGCTGCAGATTTAAGCTTACAGCACTTTACAGCCATTCAATTAAGCTTGGCGGTATAGACACATTAGAGAGAGAATAGTTTTTTATCTTAAAATTTCAACAGCAAAGTCACAAGAGAGTCTATTTTACTATCTGGGCAATTTTAGGCATTCTACTACGATAATTAGGTAGTAAATGTTCATCCTCTGCCCTGCGGCCCCAGCAATTCGAGGGTTGCACTAACGATTTGCAAGAGTTTCGCAACGCACAATAACGGGATGTGGGGAGAACTCCCAAGCCACAGCCGTCGTGGGCCTTTCATCCGCAGAGAGAGCAAACCTCTTCAATTGATATATCATTTTCGTGCGGAGTACAAACAATGCAGCAAAAATGATCAATTGGGCGGTTATAATAAATGTGACTTACTTCGAACCAGAAGGTGAGGCAGCATTAATGAAAGAGAGATCACTTTCACGCAATCGGCATATTAAAAGGCCAGCAGAAAGGATCACATCCTCAAAATTGTGCGTGTCAATTGAAGTCATGCAAATGGTTCACTCTACGTAGTAAGTTCATTGAAACCAAAGTGACAGAGAACCAGAATATTGCCAGGCCCTCAAATCAAAAAATGATCTGCCAAATAAGCCTCGACTTCCAATTGATGGGGAGCCTTGTTGTACAAAGTCTGGCCAGCTCCATCGAAGCCCCGAAATACGAATGAAGCAATCATGAGTACCTAATCTACAAATGGCTCAATCGGAACAATTGACGAATCCATCAGTAGGTCGTTCATGGACCAACAGCAAGGGCGGCAGCGTAATGTACGGGTTCCAATGCCGCCACGTAGGGTTGTACGTCAGGCTGATGGTAGCCTGATTTCACCTCATTCACCTGATTGATTGCCTGCCCTATTCTTGCATAAACTCTGGACATTGAGCCTTGCGAGGAATTGAAGGACTGTGGAACCGTGTTGAGAGGCGACTGAGAAAAGCAATTGATCCAGTTGCTCGTCTCTGCGAGAGCTTTCAAGAGGCGAAAAGATGGGAATTGAGGTCAATGGAAGCCAAAGGAAGCTTCAAAGCCTGCTGATTGATAAGCTTGGCTTTCTCAGGTCTAAACGGAATTTAATTAGCGGAAGCGGCGGATTCTTTGCCCGACGCTAAATCCCTGCTTGGGATACCAGCGTGGCCAGCAATTGAGTCATCCGGCAAGCGGCGCTATAGCCCGGGCGACCCACACAGGCCACATCAAAGCTAAGTAAACTCGCCCGCCTGTCCTGCTCAGCAGACACCCCCCAAACTATCCATTATTCATACAAGTCCACAAGGCCAATTGCCAGTCTTCTCACAGCCCCAATTCATATGATGACTGTGCGAGTGACATCTGATCCAATAAACCCGTCAAATGTGTCCAATCATGATGCCCCCGCAGTTGGGCAAGAAACACTCATCATGCATGGTGGCCTGGAATCTTCCACCTCCATGAGCATCCTCCCATTGATCCATAGTCTCATTCAGTCACGCCTAAGACCTATTCATCTGTATTCACGTATTCACTGTTCATTGTTCCTATTCTATGCTTACTCTGCTGTATCATTGATGTGCTATTCTAGAAATTCTTCCATTCAGATACAAGGATCTTGCATCTAAGGACCTGATCCTACGCCACCTCTCATCGATCAATCCATAAGTTCGTCGTCTGCCTGATTCTTCCAACCCATTGCCGCCTGCAACCTTCCGAATCCATCATCACCTTTTCTTTCACTCTTTCTCTCTCTCTGTCACCCCTCAGAGAACTACTGGTTAGTCTCACATATCCATCAATTGTTCGGCACTACAAGCAAACACTGTTCCGACAAACTTGACAATTGTTGTACAAGCTGCGGCGCTGCGGATACAGCATTCTTCTCAGAAAGACTCTGATCACATACATAAGCTTCCATGATGGAAGACACGCCGTCAAGTAAGAGAAGGGCAAACGAAGATTTATCAATGTTGACTCCACCAACACCCAGAGTGAATTCCTTCACTCGTAAGTCGAGCTCAAATGAGGAAACCACCAAAGTGTCTTCAAACTATAGCGAGTCGTCCGCGACTACCAGTAGAGTTACCCCACCATCAACCGCATCACCATTGAAACGTTCACGAGATACCATATCGCCAGGGCCACAGGAATTCCATCATGATGGAATCACATCATTCGCAACAGCTGATCCACCAGTTACCGATTTGCTCGCAGCTCCTGCCTCGTCTCCATACCTTCTACAGGAACACCACAATTCTACGAAGTCATCATCACGATCTACGTCTCGCAAATCCAGCTCTTCTGAATATCAAAACAATACCATTGTTGATACCATCCGTGAGCTAGGCTATCGAAAATATCTGCAACTGGTCAACCTGCCACAATTCCTTCCGCGGCGGCTGCAAGCAGCACCTGTGATGCCACAACCAGTAACTTCTGCCCCGTACACACCATCACCAAAGAAGAAGCAAATACAAAAGCAGGCTCGCGCAGGCGTAGCGGTGAAGCCTTCCCGTGTCAATCTACAAGCTCAACCGAAGAAGAGAAAGATGTCTGAGGCTGGCGAAACCCCTCCGCAAGCTCAGTCCATGAAGAGCAGGCGGTCGGAGGCTGACCAACGTCCTCCACAAGCGCAATCCAACAAGAGAAAGCGATCCGAGGGCGCGCAAACTTCTGTTTTCAAAACTCCTCCGGCCAAGATCCGGAAGTCAGAAGATCGGCTAGTGACAAAATCAGAGGAACCACCATCCAAAAGGGCCAGGACTGCCCCACCAACCGCCACTCAGATTAAAACTACTCCTACCAAACCGAAGACTCGAAAGACTCCCAAGAAGGCCACCAACATTGGTACCAGCAAGCCTGAGAAGTCGAGAACTAAGGAGCAGCGATGGGGGGATTATCTCAAGAGCATCGTGGGGGGAGAGAAGGATGTCTACCATAAACTTCCTGATATGGTTATTCCTCCGCTGGGACAGTCAATTGATCAAGTCCCAGTTCGAGCGTACACTTTCAACAAAGGAAAGGTCCAAGACTACGGTGACGGTCAGGGCTTGCACGATCGGGAGATGGAACTGGCACGGGAAGTAGGACTGAGCTACGATGCTTATCGACAACAAAAGAGGATGGCTTTCATTGGGTATGCTGCTATGCAGCTGGAAGGGAAGAAGGAGTTCAAGAAATCGCATACGCAATCATTATGCAATATTGATGGCAACAAGGCAACTCATCTTTGGATTCATTTTCATGACTGCTGGGGTTGGATGCCAGAAAATCCCACCCCACCAATCAACCCAGCGAGTCTCGGCGATCTTCAACTTCCAGATCTACACGTGGCTCAGGCGTCGCAATAAGTCGTCTCAAGGTCACTTTACAAGCATGCAAAGTGAGAAGAAGGAACCCCCAGGAGGGCACAGGATAGACTGTCCAAGGATAGTTGTAACAGACGAGGATCTGTATTGCATGGCCATTGCGTTGGAAATTGCTTGTGAAGTTTGCTTGAATGCTCAAGCATCATGAAGAGTTCTGACTAACCAGCCTGAACGGTTAGTCTCGGGTTATGCATTATCCGAGCGACTTTAATGCGGTGCAGGTCATCTTAGTCGATACCCGTGTTCTATAGCACAGTCTACTCAATATGAATGATCACTGTCTCCTTCTATTTCTCAATGCCAGTAGAGTATTCATGCAGTGGTAGACGTGGTTGAAACGCGGTGCTTGCGGAGGAGGATCAGTCTTGCCCCATTCCTTGGCGCTGACACACTTTGGGGGCGGCTGTGCTTGCGACGCTGGGATCGGGGATAGACTGCATGATTACCATCCTCCAACATACACACAGTACTGGCCGTATCCAAAAATGTCACATACAGAGGTAGCGCACACTGATTCAATCGAGACCGAGGATGTCAAGAAAGACCAAGAGAAGAAGCAGAAAAGTCGGAGACCAGCAAGTAGGCAGCTCACCTTCCTGCTGTTGAGTTCATGAGCTGACTGCGTTGTGCATTGCAGACACTGCCTTTCGGCAGCAAAGACTAAAGGCATGGCAGTATGCTGGCCTGGGAATCATTAAGGAGCCAGTAAATTGACTGCTGACTTTCGTTCAGACCTATCCTCACACCCAAGACTGTCCTTCCGCTTTTCTTCGTAGTAGGCATTATTTTTGCGCCTATAGGAGGAGTCTTGCTATGGGCAAGTGCAATGGTTAGTGCCATCTGGACTGCTACAGAGAGCCTAGGACGGAACTGATAGGCCGCACTCAAAAGGTCCAGGAACTGAGAATCGACTATACCAATTGTGGCACCGATGCCAGCAGTGGAGGCACAAATATCGATTTTTCGGACATCCCTAGCGAAAAATATTCCTCCCAATTCCGAAGCTCTACCGTCAACAACCCCCCTCAGTGGCGCCGGAACCGGACTGTGGCGACACCAGAATATGGTGTGGAGCAGCAGGATACAAATGTCTGCTCTCTTCGATTCTCCGTCCCTAATGATATCGGTCCTCCGGTCCTTCTATACTACCGGCTGACCAACTTCTACCAAAACCATCGAAGATATGTAAGGTCGTTGGATACTGATCAGTTATTGGGGAGGGCATTGGACAATGCAACAATCGCTGACAGCGCTTGTGATCCCTTGACATTGAACGAGACGTCCGGGAAAGCATACTATCCATGTGGGCTCATTGCCAATTCCCTCTTCAACGATACTATCAGAACACCTACCCTAATTACTGCACCTGGAACACCTGACGGCCGAGAGATATACCCAATGACCAATAAAGGCATTTCGTGGAGCAGTGACCATGAGTTGTACAGGGACACGTCATACACAAGAGATCAGGTCGAGCCACCACCAAACTGGAGAAAACGCTATCCAGATGGCTATACAGAAGAGAATGACATTCCCAATATCTCACAGTACGAGGAGCTTCAGGTCTGGATGAGAACGGCTGGACTGCCTACGTTCAGCAAACTTGCCTTGAGGAATGACAATGTGACCATGAAGGCTGGTACATATGAGATTCAAATCTATGATTGTGGGTCATTGCAGCCCTTGTTCGGATTCACTGCTGATGATATGCAGATTTCCCTGTTCATGTTTACGGCGGAACCAAATCTATCCTGCTCTCCACCCGCACCGTAATGGGCGGCAAGAACCCATTCCTTGGAATTGCCTACTTGGTTGTGGGGGGTATATGTGTGGTGTTGGGGGTCTTGTTCACCGTTGCCCATCTGGTCAAGCCAAGGTACGTGATAGCGTGTGACAATCAAACGTACAACTCTGGTGTTAACGCAAGTGTAGGAAACTGGGTGACCATACCTATCTCACTTGGAACAATGATAATCCTACAACAGCGACTGCAACAGGAAGGGACAGTGGGCTAGGCACCAACGCGTGATGTTTCTTGGATTGCTTTTCTCCTTTCAAGGTGTTTGAGGAAATAACTGACAAAGGCAGACCAGGCTGGCGTCACGGGAACGGGGAGCTGTGCATATGAATAGGTGTTCCACAATCGATTCTTTCCATTTGAAAGATGCCCCTTGGCCTTGTTAACCATGCACAGGCGACTACCTGAACGACCTTCTTGCCAGTTATCTATTCTTCACCCTGAGCCATGAGCCGCATGTACCCCTGTTATTGTTCGTGATTGCCAAGGCCAAGGAGTGCCCATTCGCGTTTTTGTATGATTGCATTCCTGACAGCATATCGCGTTGCTCACGCCAACTGGATAAGTACAAGAGGATGACTGGACCAGTTTTTTCGATGTCATTCTTTGTTTTATTTCTAATCGTTCTCTTGTCCATAGTTGGGACGAACTTTTCTCTTTCGTCTGCCGCCAACATTGTATCAGGTAAACAAATCTTTCGGGTTTAATCACAAGCAGCAGTGGAGAATGCGTCCAAATTTGCCATTTATGAGCCGCTTGCCGTCAACATTCCATTAGAAGAAAGGAGCAAAGACTTTTTAAGAGCTCCTCAGTGGTGCTTAGGGCGTCTGCCCTCTTACCAAACATATCTGGCGGTGCTGTGCAGTGCCCTTTGCGGTTGCTACTGAATTATCTAGCATGCGTGGTCACAAATCTGGTCTTTCCATTTCGGTCCTCCTGTGTCTTCCCAGTATTCTTTTTGCCGCAACACTCCCCGAGATTCCTGTTCGCCACTGTCCCATCCAGGCCCCATCCTCAGCACTCCGATTTGCCCATTCATTCCTTTCATGGGCCGAACCTCTCGACAACGATCTTCAAAACGCTACCACTGTCGAAGCGAGAATATCCCCGAACGTGAAGACAAAACGCCAAGCAGTTATGCCCCTGTACACAATTGATACCTACATGCACATCATCGCTGATAGTGCCTCTGCTTCTCCCTCATCTTCGGCCTATGTGACCGACCTTCAGATCCGTGCTCAATTTGAATACCTTGCCAGGGCATATACTGATGCCTCCATTGGTTTCCGCCTTATTGGCTATTCCCGCCGCACGAATGACACCTGGGCCCGCAACGGTGATGACTTTGGCATGAAGACTGCTCTTCGCCGAGGTGGATACTCGACCCTCAACATATACTATCAATCTCGGCTTCAATCTGCGCCAGGCACCCCAGGAATCCCCGCTGGATCCATCCTATTGGGATATTGCTCCCTCCCGGCGGCAGGTGTTGGGGCGAGAACGCCTGCTGCAGCATACGTGCTTGATGGTTGTAATATTCTGAGCGGTACGATGCCTGGGGGTAGTGTCTTTGGGTACAATCGGGGAGGGTCAACGGTGCATGAGGTCGGGCATTGGAATGGGCTGTTGCATACGTTCCAAGGAAATAGTTGCGGAACTCGTGATTATGGAGACTATGTTGCAGACACGCCACAAGAGGCGACAAGCACGAATGGGTGCCCGGCCATGAAGGACAGTTGTCCGTATTCGGGGGTTGCACCTGGCTATGATGGATCAGATGGTGAGTTTTCCCACTTTATCCTTCTTACCTTGCCTTTCCTATTCGCCATCCGTGGTACCTTGACTTTTTCTAAGACCGAAGCTAATCCTTTATTCCTGGTGGGCAGGTGCCGCGAACCCTTACGGCGCGCAAGGCTACTCCGGCCCAGATCCCATCAGCAACTTCATGGATTACTCGAACGATGCGTGTTATACTGGATTTACACCTGGACAAGGGGCGAGGATGTTGAATATCTGGCAGATATACCGGGAAGGCCGGTGATTTGGACTAGCTGGGTCAGAAGAGGAGAGCATGAATGAAGGGGAGATGGTAGGAACATGAGGCAGCAGGGCAGAAATAAGTGATTTTGGACTCGGTGGGCCTATCTAGCTGTCACGTAAGCATCTGAACTCTGCGCGCTGTGATTGTGATGTTGGGGTTTCTTGCTCCTTCCTCACGACCATGTCAAACCGCTACCACCACTACTAAGTGAGTACTTGGGGGCTGCTGGCATCAATATCCGGAAACGGCTAGAGTGGTAATCTTGGCAATGAGGTCTGTGCATTTCTGCATTGGGTCGAAATCTTCAATGCGGCTTTCATTTCTTCTCGTTGTCGAATCCCAGTGGCAGAGTCATGCACTGTCAGCTTTTACATTACGATCATGGTAGTCATAAGCTTGAAGACTCAGAGTTGATGCTGGCGACTGATTGAAGCTTGCCTTGAACCGAGTCGTTTCTTTCATTCATAATTCCCATGCTTGAGGGGGAGAAATCTCGGAATCCCTCATCAGCGCCAGGTCAAGCTATGATGCAAAACATCCAACCGATATACTCAATGCTCTCGAATCATTTTCCAAGTGAATAATAACACCTGATTGTCCATGTGCCATTGTTCATCCTATTCCGGGGCCCCTATCCAGGCTATCCTATTGCGGTAATTCTCATTCACGGTCACAGTCTCCTATTCAAACAATGGACAAAACAGCGCCGGATGCGCTCATTCACCAACGCTCTATTGCCAGAGTCAATTCAGGGCAATGGATCTTCATTGTTCGGCTTTGCGCACATTTCATTTTATGCTGCTGCTTTCCCGTTTGTCGACTTGTTTTTCTCTCTGTTCAAACGTCGTCTCTGTCCATCTCCTTATCCTGCTTCACAACACTTTTGCTGCTTTACACCAAACGGTCTTCTCGTTAGGCATTCTTTGCTTGGCTTGTCTAGAGAGATACGCAGGACATCATGTCATCGAGAAACAGTATTGAGAATACATGGCCTGATGATACGGTGATCGACCCGTCACTCCTCGATGAAGACAGAAAGAATGAAAAGAATTCAGATACTAGCAGGTCAAGGTCTAGTAGATCGTTGACTAGCATCTCAGGTTCTAGCGGTGCCAGCTCTGGCAAGTCAGGGTCCGGTTTTGGTGGGCCAACGGCAGGAACTGAGAATCGCGAGATTAGCCCCGAAGAGATATCAGGGGAGGCACCGGCCGCCCCCGAAATGAGCCCAGAACCCAGAGGTATCATAGATCAAGCATCCCACCAGTATGCCGACACGAGCGTGACACCTATGGGGTTCATGAATGGCGTAGCGCCGAGGTACGCTAGCTCCATCTGCTACCGCAACGCGGCAATCACAATGTTGCTAAATTTACCGTGTTTCACCAACTGGCTCTCCGGAGCCTATTCTACAAGGCGCGAAGGAGGACCCTCTCACCCGTTAATGGACGCTATGACAGAGCTCGCAGCCACATACTGGTCTCAGCCAACGGCGAAAGGAAGTGCCAGGCCTGCAGTACGGGCAAAGCGGCATCAATTGGATACTGCCATGGATGGCTTTTGGAAACGGTTTCTTAAAGCCAGCCCTGGATTTACACCCAAACCCACGCAGACGAATTTCTACTGCCAAGAAGACTCTGCATTATTCTTGTCGACGCTTTTGGAATGTGTTTATGACGAGCTGGACCCGATTAGGTAAGTTACTATTTCTGCTGGAAGTGCTGCCAGTCCTCACTTACTAATGTTCGTGTAGCGTCCATGGCAAGATTTTGGGTGGCATGTTCAGAGCTTGGCATGCGACTTCAACATATTGCTCGGCAAAGTGCCAGAAAAAGAGAAAACGCAAGAGCGAAGACGGGCAGCCGGTGCTGAATCCACCTAATTGGATCCATATCGTCAATTTCCTGAGTCCAAAGATCCGGCATAAGGGAGCAAGAAGCTTCCAGGAGTGTTTCGATGCATCGCTTGAACAGCAGCAAGAGGCCGACTGCCCAAGGTGCGGGCGATTGACCACCAGATCTGCCAAAGACAAATTTATTATACTGCCTAAAATTCTTCTCACGCAGCTCAATCGAAGCACAAACACTCAGGGCAAGATCCAAGAACATTGCGAAATACCCCGAGAGCTTACTGTTGCCATTGATGAATCGGCTCGCAGCAAGTACAAGGATGCAAAATACAGACTTGCAGCAGTGGTGGCTCACTCCGGAGAATCAAGCACGTCGGGCCATTACATCAGTTATGTCCGTGATCCGGCAAGAACAGGCAGCTGGATTCAGCTCGATGATGACAGGGTCAGACGCATCGATTTCGCAGAGATTAATCATAACCGGGAATCGATTATGGAGGACATGTTGCCATTCATGATGGCCTGGGAATTGATTGATCTGCCCAAGGAACCCGCTGCGAGCGGAGAGGAAGCCGAAGCTGCCAATAGGAAGGAAGCGGAAGCACGCAAGCAACAGCTCGATGAGAGAGAGGCTGCCCTCGATACACGGCAGGAGAAGTTGAATGAAAGGGAGAAGGCATTGCGGGTTCGGGAGGGGGAGCTGGAAGGGGGCAAGAACAGGCTTAAGACAATGGCAGCGGACTTCTTTCGGAATAGGAACGAAAAGCAGCAGGCTCTGGCTGAACGTGAAGCAGACATCGAGCGGCGCGAACAGAGATTGCAAGTTGAGAAAGAGACAGCCTTTGCACAGCCTGCAGCACAAGCAAGAGACCAGGTTGCACATGAGGTCGACGAAGGAAAGGATACGGCCACCTTCTGTGCAACGTTTCGAAATGCTGCGCATCACGATGAAAATGCTCGAGCGATCTTCAAGCTCCGTGACTTCAATCCAGATGTCCCAACCAAGATCGAGTCAACCGTTCAGCTCACCGACCTAGAGGGTAATCTACGATCCGTCAAAAAGGGCACCGCGGTCAATGACGACTATATCATCATTTTCAACGTCAAGGGAGGCAAGAAGAGAAAGAGGGGTGATGACGACCAGGCCGGCCCTCCACCGCCGCCGCCGAAAAAGGCCAAACGCCCAGCCAAACAAGACAACAGGCTCAGAACTCCTCCGCAGGAAAACGAAGGGCCACAAACGTCGCCCCCGGGGAAGAATAAGTCGCCAGGTGCGAAGAAGTTGAAAACGTCACCAAAATCCAACGAGAAGCCAAAGTCTCCCAAGACTACCGAAGCAATATCAAAGAAATCTCCTCCTGCACCCCGCCGGTCCGCCCGCGTAAACAAGGGCAAAAATTCGAAGAGAGCCTAGGTCAATGTTAATGTAGTCGACACGGCTGGCCGAGCTGGGAAATGTTGTACACTGCCGGCAGTGTGAACATATCGCTGGTATTGCGATATCAGGCGGGTTGACTGTGGTTGCTGGGTTGGGAAGGAGCATGAGAAAGAAGATACGGAATAGAGTGGTTAGACAGGCCTATGCTGAGATTAGGAGGAGACGGGAAAGGCGTTCAGAACTGCTCAGGCCTGTGGCCTAAGAGAATGGATATTAAAGTATTTTCACTTGTGAAGAGGAAGTGCCAGGCGTGGTAATCGATATAGGTAGTAGTATAGTCAAGTTGCTGGGAAAGATAAGTAGTTGTTGACCTTCCGAGAGGGCCAATTGGCCGCGTTTCATATGCGTAATCCCTGCGTTTCTACTGCTTCTAATTGGTCAATTTCCAACGCAATTTTGCTTCTAATTTCGCTATACAGTACAGCCAATTATACATAGATTTACGCTCTCTACCCCTGTAGCTATTAATCAACTTGCTTCTTTACGTACTCTGCACAGTAGGTTGACAGTAGTTTCTTAATCCGTTCGTCCCCTCTTTGAGCTCAGAGAGATACCATAGCATGGTGTTCCCTTGGTCGATACTCTTCGGTAGATCACAGAGAGGCGGAAGGATAACAAGTCGTAAACTGTAGCCCGAAATTCGGCTGATCCAGAGTCCTCCATCCCGAATTGATAGGTCATGGAATGTATGGGATACATCATGGACTTGAATCCATAATGTCCTTCTCCCACTAGTATGAGCAGCGTTGAAGAAGTGCAAGAAGTCTGCAACACAAAGAGACGTCTTCCCAGCGGATGCCCCCTCGCCTCCAAGTATCAAAGCTGCCAAAGGCATCGTGACATTTCTTCCTTTGCAGATCAGGACTGTTGTCGTGAGTATGCTGGAGGCCACCCCGACTAGTAGAGCAAAGAACTGACCCCAATGGGCTACCCTTCATATATCTCTCGCTTTATTCTATCATTGTTCTTGTCGGCTATCCGTCTATCCGTCTATTCAGCTTTAATCCATCATCCTAGCCCGATGCCCCTCGCTAGTAGAAGTCCGGAATCATTCATCACGTCCCTGGTCGATAAGATCTCTCTTCTTGTGCCTCCTTTGCCTTCAACTCCGTCATCATCATCACCATCAGCGTCTCGCCCGCGCCCTTTGGACTCGAATGTGTCCACAGACCCTGTGTCTCCGCCATCACCGCCAAATTTCTCTACTCTCCTCTCTACCCTCCCGAAAGAGGATCAAGAATCTGTCACCCGACTCTTGATGACTTTACATTTCTTCTTTCCGCATGAATTCATTCCGGCGCTGGATCTACTGGACAGAGGATTGGTCACTCGGTTGGTTATCGGATCTCTACCGAGTCCTACCAATGTCTCCGAAGCATCGCATAGGAAGCCTCATGTTGATTATCAAGCCCCATGGAACGAACCAACGGGAGATCTAGATCCCCCTCTTAACACTTACATGGTAAGCGTTGGCCCATATTTACACGAGACTGATCTTGGTATTCATGTGGACTTTGAGGCGGGCAGGCAGATAGCGACAGAGAACGAAGTATTCTACGTCCAATCCGCTTCATCTCAGACCAAAACAACTCGCCAACGTCGCCACCACCATACCAGTGTCTCCTCAACCAATTACGAAGTCAGGCTCGGTGCCTGGAACTGTACATGCCCCGCCTTTGCTTTGTCCACATTCAGTCGATTAATGGATCCGAAAGCTGATGGCCGCGCCGATGACAATCGAGAGCCACTAAAGAACTTGTTAGCCGGCGACGACCACCACAACGTTGATTTCTACGACAGTGCCATGTCACAAACAGAATTCGAATGGAGGTTTGGTGGTACTTTTACTCGCACCATATCGGACCCCGAACACGGAATTGACTCGGAAAGAAAAGGAGCATCAGTGCCAGTGCCTGTATGTAAGCACATCCTCGCTGCCTTACTCGGCAAACACATCCCAGGTCTTTTCGGCTCAGGTGTACAGCTTCGCACCGTCAGCGCCGAGGAGGGAGCTGGATGGGCTGGTGGATGGGGAGATGGGGACTGACAGACAGAGCTTCTACTACGGTTTTGACTAGACCTATCCTGCATGGACGAAACGAGCTATGAAGTGAGATAACAAGGAATGCGACGAGCTTGTTCGAGTGGAGGCAAAAGAAGAAACGACTGCCTCTGCATTGAATGGATCTGTGAGAAATATAATTGCACTATCGAACTCTAATGTTCATCGAATGTACAGCGCATCTTGAGCACACGAGACACCCAGAGAGCCAAACCCATCCTCTGTAACTCGGTGGAGGAGCAGGTCAAGCGACACAGCAATTTCTCCGCGTCAAAACACATGCCCAGCGATTGTCTTGAAAAGGCTGAACTGCACATGAGCCTCTCCCATCCACATCCTGTATTCCCACGGGACAAACCTGGAACGCTCACTGCAAGATCCACATCGCTGCAAGGATCCAGCCCAAACCTCAGTTTCACATCAACATTCCTCCATGCCCACAACCGTCTTGCCGACGAGCCAGCAAGCACGCCAGCAACTAAGTTAGCAAGAAAGTACGCTGCTATACGAAGACACTGTTGTTCGAATTGAGTGCCTATCTGTGGCAGACCACAGCTACACAGCCTACCAGCCAGCCAGCCAGCCAACCATCAAGGATACCCCATATTCTCCCTTCAGAGCCAGCCCAAGCGAGCTCAGGTCCGACCCTCGACGCAAGACGAAGAAAAGGAAGAGCCATCTATACTCCACTCCCCAGAGACGAAGCAAGCGCAGTAGACCCCCGACCCCGACCCCAGCCCAGGAACAAAGCAGCCGCCATCCGCACCGAACTCTTCACAGCCACTCATGGATTTACCTTCCTTCGCTCTGCTTCCCCCCCTCCTTTCTCCCCAAAGAACCCAGGAATGGGGAAAGCGAGACTGATGTACATGACGGCGCTTCGCAGAGTTGGGAAATTGGAATGGAATGATATGAAACGATATGAAACGAAATGCAATGAGAAGCTGGCTGGTTTGGTAGAGTGGAATTGGAACGGAATGGAACAGAGTAGAGCAGAGCAGAGCAGAGTCGCTCTAGATTAGCTATCCTCGGGAACTGGGAACTGGGATCTGGGATCGAATATGGATATGGATATGAGTATGGGTATGGATATGAACACGTCCAGGGCGGGACGCGAGGATCTCGGGGTAGAAAGAGAGAATCGGGGCGCGGAGCGAATAAGGGTGCATGCGTGCAAGCTATCTGGATGGATGGAAAGGAGAGGGGAGGGAAAGGGAAGGGATAGTACAAATAGTACAAGCAGTTAGAATTACAAATTACAGGGTGGTCCGTCCCTCGCTTCTGCAAGGCTGTCGGTGGAATACGACACCATCTCGTTCTGATGGCCTTCTGGTCTTGTTTTCCCGGCCAAGCTGGTCCTTACATGTACTAGTATGTCTATTGTTTCGTCCGCCTGGGCACCTTTCAGGTGTCTCATGCAGGCCTCACTGAGAGAGAGACACACACGTCCAGCCAGACGTCCAGCCAGGCAGGCTGTGTTTTCTCTCCCTCTCTAAACGCCAGTGCTAATGCTTGCTACACGCGTTCAGCTAGCCAAAATCGCTCGTTCCAGGCCACGGCGCCCCTAAATGTATTATCCTCGCGATTAGCGGCGCTAGCTCTTCTTCTTCGCCTTCCCGCTTCCCTTCTCCTTCGCATCGCTTCCGTCCGGTTTTTTCTCATCCTTCTTGTTGTTGTTGTTATCGTTTCCGCTGTTGGCCACACCATTGATCCCCTTCTTGTCATCGCCGGCCTCTTTCTTGCCTTCCTCCTTCTTCCCGCCCGCTTCCTCCTCCTTCGTCTTGGCATCCTTGTCCTCCTGCGCCTGGCGATTTTGCCGCTTGTTCTCGATCAGATCGTGGAATGCGGTGATTGCGCGCACGAGACTACTCAGGTAGATGGTCATGAGCTGGTCGTTGGTCTTGATGGACATGGCGCGGGCGAGTTCGCTGTTTTCGATTGACGAGGGAGAGGAGGTTTTGTCGGTGCCGTTGATGGGTTTGCTGGCGGTGCTGGGGGTCGAGAGGTTGGGAAGCAGATTGAATATGTCTTGCAGGTTTCCGAGGATGGCGTGGTTGGTGGGCAGGTCGCCATCCAGGACTCGTTGCAGGTAGGCGGATATATCGCGCAGGCGGTGGTGTAGGCCTTGGAGGGATTGGAGCTGTGCTGTTATCCGTGTGGAGAGAGTGCCGACTGCTACGTCTCTGATGTCGCGTAACAGGTGTTCGACGCCGATCTCTTCGGCCTCTTCGGCTTCGATTATGGAAGGTGTGTGCACGAATGTTTTGGAGGTGGTGGTGCCGTCGTCTTTGATCTCTTCGACGGCGAAGTAGGCATCGGTTGGCACGCCGACTTCGGTGGGTTGGACATCGATAATGACGAGTAAGGGGTTGGGGGTGTATCTTTTGAAGAGTTCGTTGATCTCTAGATCTGAAGCCCGTAGTTTGGGACCCGAGTGATACCACCCTATCAGCTTTTCTCTTGCGTTGACCTTTTTGAACATATCATTCATTGATTCGACGTAGTTGTGGTCCAGGAACCAGACGGAGCGGTCTTTGTCATCTTCTTCGAAGGGGACTGCAGGAGAGGAGTGTCAGAGAGATCGATGACCAGGTGCACAGAAGGTGTAGATGGGGGTTTACCTGCGAAGCTGTTTGATACCCTGACATTTTTACCATCGTTCTGTCCGAGAAGCACTCCTACCACTCTTTTCCGTGTGCCTTTCGCTGATCTACCGTAGTGATCTGCTGCTGAGAGGAGGACAAGCGGAGCGACGGAGACTTGTCTTGTCACCAGAGATAACGTCTCTGCTGTTGTGGCCGGCATGACGCGGAAAGTAGAGAGGTTGCGCAGTGATTTGGACAGACGCGATGTTGAGGACTTTCGCCGGACTGATGTGTCTGTGAATGTGTCTGTGAGTCTGTGTGTGTCTCTGTGTCTGAAACTCGAGGGTAGTGATCCGGAGCGTTCTTTGATTGTCACTGCACAGGTACAAGTTGATTGAATTCGTTGTACTGAGCTCAGAAATTGTCTTGATGAGATTGGAGAGTGAGAGTGAGAGTGATAATGAGAATGAGTGTTTGGAGCAACGTGCAGGGCTGGTGACTGGCTTGGCAACTGAACCAAAAGCCGCGGCCTCAATTTAGCACCTCGGGTGGAGGAGGAAGAGGAGGAGGAGCTGCTGCACACTGTACACTGCACTCTGCACACTGCACGCCCATCCTCACTACTGCTCGAACTCCCCCCTACTCATTCCCTCCCCCCGTCCGCCTTCTCTCCTCCATCTTCACCTTCACGCGCCAGTGATCTTCTCCACTCCTTCCACGTCCGCCCCGTGCAGGTCACATCACGACCTTGGTCAGGTCTTCTCCTCGTTCTCTGTCCGAAATGGCGCCAATTAGGGATGACACGGTCACCGACCTGAAGGATCTCGTTGCAAAGCTAGAAATCCGAGTCCGACAGCTGGAGGACCGGCTTGGACGTGATGGGGCCAAACCGAGAACACCTTCACAGTCGATGAGAATGATTTTGATGGGCCCCCCAGGCGCAGGTAAACATGGAAATACATGGAAATACTGTGTCAATCGGCGTGCAACTCGTCTAACACCCTGTTACAGGCAAGGGAACGCAAGCACCCAAGATTAAGGACAAGTACTGCGTCTGTCACCTGGTACGCATCTGACCGTCTAGCTAGCTAGCTATGCCGTGTTTATTGACTTCTCGCAGGCCACAGGAGACATGCTCCGCGCCCAGGTCGCAAAGAAGACGGCACTCGGACGAGAAGCCAAGAAGATTATGGATCAAGGCGGGCTCGTCAGCGATGATATTATGGTCAACATGATCAAGTCGGAACTGGCTACCAATCAAGAATGCGCCAACGGGTATTGTGCACATGCCTCATATCGCGCACAAATGTTTTGACCAAACTCCAGATTCATCCTCGACGGTTTTCCGCGAACTGTGGCCCAAGCCGAACGCCTCGATCAGATGCTGAAAGAACAACAACAGCCCCTCAAACACGCCGTCGAGCTCCAAATCGACGACAGTCTCCTCGTTGCACGTGTTACTGGCCGACTCATCCACCCAGCATCTGGACGCACATATCACAAGATCTTCAACCCCCCCAAAGAACACATGAAAGACGATGTGACGGGCGAACACCTGATCCAAAGAACCGATGATAATGCGGAAACGTTGAAGAAACGGTTGGGGACATATCACGCACAGACTGCTCCAGTGGTGAGTTATTACCAGAAGAAGGGCATCTGGTCTGGTGTCGACGCGAGTCAAGAGCCCGGTGCGGTGTGGAAGAGCCTGCTCGGTGTTTTTGGTGAGGAAAAACCAGCTCACACTGGAATGGGGAGCAGCATTCTGAGCAAGATTGGACTGAAATCGTAGGCCAGCAAGGAGTGGAGGGTGAGAACACACCGTGGCTAGGATACCTATCCACGGACAGCCTGTGTCTTCGAGTGCTGGATGTTTCTGTTGAATGTGGAAAAACCGGGGAGGATGATACCCTTACCATGGTCCCGAGGCGAGGACGCATTCAGCTTGATTCCAGCCGCAATCTGAGACAGAGGTTGGGGGGAAAAGCTCGAATCAGTACATAATCTATCTCATGTCTGGCGATTCTGGCAGGTTGTCTCTGTATAACAAACCTCTTGTCCTCCATCTCTTGTTCTCTCTCTCTCTCTCTCTCTCTCTCTCTCTCTCTCTCTCTCTCTCTCTCTCTCTCTCTCTCTCTCTCTCTCTCTCTCTCTCTCTCTCTCTCTCTCTCTCTCTCTCTCTCTCTCTCTCTCTCTCTCTCTCTCTCTCTCTCTCTCTCTCTCTCTCTCTCTCTCTCTCTCTCTCTCTCTCTCTCTCTCTCTCTCTCTCTCTCTCTCTCTCTCTCTCTCTCTCTCTCTCTCTCTCTCTCTCTCTCTCTCTCTCTCTCTCTCTCTCTCTCTCTCTCTCTCTCTCTCTCTCTCTCTCTCTCTCTCTCTCTCTCTCTCTCTCTCTCTCTCTCTCTCTCTCTCTCTCTCTCTCTCTCTCTCTCTCTCTCTCTCTCTCTCTCTCTCTCTCTCTCTCTCTCTCTCTCTCTCTCTCTCTCTCTCTCTCTCTCTCTCTCTCTCTCTCTCTCTCTCTCTCTCTCTCTCTCTCTCTCTCTCTCTCTCTCTCTCTCTCTCTCGCTCTCTCTCTCTCTCTCTCTGTCTACATCCCACAACCGGCCCGTCATCTACACCAAGCACCAGCGATTCCTTCCCCTTACCCCCATCCAAAGCGTTTCGATTCTCCTCTTCCTCTCTTCGGCCCTGATTCCCCTGACCCTTCAAGTGCATCCTCCAGCCTCCAGCCTCCTTAATTTGGTGCTTACTCCCTCCCCCGGCCCCTTCCCTTTCCTCCTTTTCCTTTGGAAAGGAGAAAAACCGAGGAGGTCCCCTCCCTGCAGCTCCGCACGCTTTACTTGAACCCCTCGATCCCACCCTCCCCTTTGCCCCTGCAACGAATCGATTACCCCGGTGATGAAAATCCCCCGCAAACTCCCCTCTACCTTCTTCAGGTCCCTTGGTAAATTATGTCCATCAGGTATATGAGAAAGGACACAAGAAAGAAAGAAGGAGTGGGCCAGAAGGAAGGAAGCAGGGGCGAGGGATAGCAGGCAGGATGACGAAATACAGCTCTAAAACTCTCCTCCCTTCCCTCTCAAATCTCCTTCGGAAAAAAGACTCGAGCCGATATCTGTGAGGCGCATTGTTGATCTCCGTGCTAAAGTACTACTTAGTACATCTAATTGGACAAAAAGCAGAAAAGAGATGAGTTGATGGTCTAGACAACTTAAGGGTGAAGAAGTCATCATGTATATATATTTATATGTCTATGTACATCTAACATATGTGTATGTTTCTGTATGTTCATGTGCATATTTACCGCGATCGTGATCTAGTGAACAAACGGACCCATGCGACCATGCGCTCTGTCATCATGATGATGATGATGATGATGATGATGATGATGATGAGGAGTATACAAAAACAGGGGTATCTTTGTGGACAGCGGTGTTGTGTGCACGCGAGGAAGACCCGGGTATATGGGCCATGGTAGAGATTGGTTGCAAAGGTTCCCTGGCCGCGATCCTCGTCCGTGCTCGATTAAGTCACGTAGTGCCATGTTGTACTAACGCCGTTTCGCCTGTGGCAGGGAGTGTCTGTGGGTTGGCCGGTTTGGCCCCCGTCTCTCAACATTATTCAGCAACGGCTTGCCCTTCCCCATTCACCATACTCCAACCGACGTTGGTTGAAGGATGCTCGTGTGTCATACCGTTGGTTTTCACCTCGCCAGCCACTCCATTGTTCTCCCGGAAATCTCTCTGGGCTGCTACCAGAAGAATTTTCTCCATTCAAGCCTCTTTTCAACCGTACCGCGCCCAACGCCACGCTCTTGAAAATCCGAAAATGATCCGCATTTGTCGTGAATTAACTTTATACATGAATTGCAAATCAAAGGGCTTGTCCAACCTTCGTTTCCTCTGACACATCCTGATCCTCTGACCTTGTCAGGGAATTCCTCCTCTCGCCTCTTCCCCTGCTCCGGTTTTCTCTTTCTGTCTGCTCGGGTCTTCTTTCATTCTCTTCTGGATACATGAGCTCTTTGGCACTGATATTCGTAGTCGTCCTCGCCGATCTGGGATCTGTCATCTCCCATTCATATTGACCTCGACTCTGCCCTTCAAATTGCATCTGGGCATTTTTTTCGGAATCGAGATCTTCCGCGGAGGAGGTGAATTCATCAACTTCAATATCGACGGTGGTTTCGGCCAGGATGCCATGACCATCAAACGGAGGTTTGTTAATTCGTTCGACTGAACCGGTTCGTTCGATATCGGTCTCGGTGCCCACGGTATATTGACTGCATTTGTTCTTTGATATGCGTGACATGGGATGCGAATCACCTCCATCCGTGCCAGGCCTGCGCATACCGCAGAACGAACTGCCTGAGTTACCAGTCTTGCGATTGCTGGAGGTAGAGCGATGACCTGGAGTAAACACCCGGAGATGCGGGAACCATTCCCTCAGGAGAGGCCAGATCAGCGGTAGATTCGCGACATATATTGCCACACTGGCTTCACGGATGTACCAGAGCATGTAGACGGTGCTGTAGACATCCGCCAAATTGAAGACTTTGGTCAAGATGGCGGCGACGATGACAAACGAGCCCATGCTGAAGATGCCAACGAGGACTACTTTTTGTTTGGGTTTGAGGTTGGCCTGGACAAGGAGCGGAAGCATGACACCTAGCATCATCAGGTCGGAAGAGATGTTGAAAACGGCCTGTGTGATGGAATAGTGTTGCAGCGTTGTGCACTGGGGATCTGGGGGTGGAACAGCCCAGTAGCCCTTGAAAGGACGGCAGGCGAAGAAGAATGCGAGCTCGGTGCCAACCCAACCCAAAGCAACATATGCTGCGATAGCTTTGACTATTCTCTGTTGCCGAAGACCCATCGTCAGGCGTCTGTACATGATCAACATGCATGCTTTGTTGAAGTATATCGTGTTCAACATGGCCTGTTCGGAGATGATGACCACCTTGCTTCCCTTGATTCTCTCCTCTATATCTTCTGGTGAGAAGGTGGAAAGTTGTTCGGGAGGAAAAAGATTGGAGCCGCCGCCAGTGACTACCACGTTCAGGCACACAACCAGAGTCGTAAACCACCCGAGAGCTGCCAACATGAGATAGTCATCGGGCTGCAGCCCCCCAAGACCAACACGATGGATCCGAGCATAACTGAGACAGGATCAGTGCCTTGCGAACGATACTTTGAAGAGCATCGGAGCCGCTCACGTTCTTGCGACAACAAAGAGCGCCCCAACAGCATACAGGGACCAGCTCTCTCGAGCCAGTGTCTGCTGAAATGGAAGGTCGAAAGCAGAAGACGGCATGACTGGTGAAAAACGCGAGAGATTGGGGTAGGGTAGCAATACAAAGGAAAGACAATAAAAAGAAGACTGCGCAAGACCCTTATGCAGTTTACATACTTGGCAGCGAAGGATGATAGGCTCTACGTCAGAGACATGCATTGGATGAGCAAAATGAAGCGCAGGCTGAGAAAGTGTGCACGAGTGATTTTGACCTAAGTAATAAAGTATGAAGCCGATAGTCAACATGCATGCAAGATGACCCTGAGCGTCTGCATGAGATGCGTAGACGCCCAACGATAAGCTTTACCATTGAGTCAAGACCTTTCCAGGGGGGGGAGGGAGCTATGACCACTGATCATCCGTGATGCATTCCTTCGTCAAATTATGAATGATCAGGGCTCCAAGAAGATGTGTAGCGAGTCAGCACAAGCCTGAGCCGATATTTTGTGCTCGTGGGAGAGATGATTCGCGTACATGTTCGTGAGCTCGAGGAACGAACATGCTTGCTCGATGATAATCGCTCAATACGAAGCGCTAATTGCGTAGTGGGTGTAGGAAACGCCATCGGTGTCAAGGCGAAGAAGGTGATGGCGATAACAGAGTGGCAGGTCTGAAAGGTCTGAAAGGTCTGGATGGAAAGAAAAGATTATTTGGTCACCTAGTTGGTGAATAATGCAAGTGGAGCACGGGAGGGAAGGAAAGAACCCAGTCCAAGTGGCTAGTTAGCGAAGAGTAGTCATTCGGGGAGGGGCCCGATGGGATCAATTGGGCCGTGCCCAGCTGTCAGATACCTTCTTGATCCAGTGGAGCGGGCTTGGTGGGGCGGATGCCTCCAAGCGTCAAACTTAGGGTTGACCTTGTAAAGGAGTACCTGCAGGCACATTTAGGCTCTTTACTCTTATCAGTGATCACCCATTAACCTCGCTGCTAGTACCGCTTCTCCTAAACACCCCGTAACGTGCTGCGTCTTGAGTCGTGAAGTTCGAGGAATCCTGGCCTCTGCGGCGACGAGCATAGTCACACATGACCTTTACCCCCCCCGAACTATCATGAGTAAGGGGATGAGATTATTTCAATCAAGAATTTGAGAAACTTTCCTGAAGGCTGACGAGTATTCAGTACTCGCATCTCTGTGGTGGAGCGTGAGTCTGAATCTGCTAATCTCTTCAGAATTTCCTTGGAGACATCCCCATTGGTGCTTGTACGCACTGGTCGACAGTTTCTATCTACAGGAAACATCATCATGACTGGAACAAGGCATGGTGCAATAAACTAGTGCAAACCGCGCACGGGGAATGAGCATCCTGATTCCTGAGTGTTGAGTGCGAACAGTGATAAGCGAGGTCCTTTGGTAGTCGAGAATAGCTTGATATCAGGAAGCGGACCAAGTGACCATGGTTCTTGGGCCTGAGTAATCAAAGGTGACAGATACCATGTCGTATGTCGTAGTAGTAAGTATTGGTTTGCTTTGTAGTAAATGGTGATCAACTCAGATGAGTCCTTCGGTCCCACGTCCTATCATTTCGCTCGCCCATCTCTCACCAATCACGATTTGAAGAATGTGGTTCGTAATTGAAGCTCAGCGTCTTCAACGTATCACATGTCATCAGATCAAGACTTCTTACTCTTCTCGTATAATCGTATAATCGTATAATCGACGTTGGAACTCATACTACAGTAGGACATACCGTAGCAAGTACTCCGTATTCGTAGCATGGTGCTAAGACATGGTGCTAAGAACAGCTAGTATCATGTACGCCGCCACCAGGCCTTCTTGAAGCTTCCGTTCTTTATATCCACACAATCAATTTGATACAGTATAGCTAGATCACCATAAGATTAGTGCCGATGTACAGCAGCTGTTTCGAGAATCTGATACTAGCGTTGAGCTACGAATACGGAGTACTTTAGCCAGGTATCGTAGTGCGCCGGCCGCCTCATGCAGTTACTGTGCCACAATCATCAATAATTTCCGAATACATCTCTCAACGCCGTTCGAGTTTCAACTTCTCAGTTCTAACCCCACCAGGACGTTGAACCAGGCAGCGTGACACAATTGATCGTGTTTGACATCTGCCACATCTTCCAGAACGGTGGACTTTCCCGTGTTACACAAGAATCAGCTCTCCCTGATACTGTGCATATGTGCAGTGGCCGTCTTCCCTAGCATCTTTTCTAACCTGTTATGAGCCTTTCTAGGTGTGTCCTAATCACGTCTACTTGCTTCTCTACACTACTGCCCTCTGAAAACAGGATGGCAGATGATCCCGATCAGACATCTGGTGACTCCCCTACTACCTCTCTAGAATCTTATAGACGACAGCGACGTCGACTATTATCAACCGCTCATTCCTCTCCACATCCTTCTTGCAGCACACATACAATCCCATCTGTTCACGTAACAATCGCAGATAGAAGTGCTCCAGGCCGAGCACCACATACCACAGGAAGTAGCAACTCTACGCTCTCATCAAGATGTCCTAGCATTATCCAAATTCAGCCAGCAGATAGACGTGGTCGAGCTCAACCGCCCATCACTACAGGCAGACAGGATGCTGCCATTGCTTCCTCAAGTCGATCTGCTGGGGCAGGGTCGGCCGCTGCGGCTTCGATACCTGTCAAGCCTCCAACACTATCGCAGGCTTTACGCCCTGGGATACGGCTAGGCATCGAGACAGAATTTTTACTTTCTGCCCGTCAACGCTCACACCAAGCCGTGAGTCTCAGTCGGTTTGTGCAAATCCTTGCAGATAACCATAACAAAGAGGTGTGGTCTCAGTATCCCCAAATGCATCACTCGCTGTGTCAACCTGAAGACCCCATTGATTATAAGGAGTGGTCTATGGTTTATGAAAGTAGTAATGCAACCGGCCGAGAACCATGTAAGTCTTTGCTGTCTTGATGATTCTAAAATTGGCCCAAGGATTATGACTGACGATGTTTTTTAAGGGGGCCTTGAGATGCGAACTCCAATTACCGAGGTGCAACCCGGATGGAGAGATTCCATCCTAGCAACGTGGAGATATCTGTTGCGGAACTATGAAGTCAGATCAAATCATGAGTGCGCGACCCACATCCACATCTCACTTGTGCCAGTCTACACCCTAGGCCAGGTGAAGAAGATTGCTTCCGCTGTCATCTACTTCGAGGCGGTGTTCGAAGCACTAGTCCCGGAAGAACGCAGAGGCAATGAATGGGTCCAAAGCAACTGGCTTGAAAGCCCGGAACTAGCACAAAAAGACAAATCTCGCTCTGACTCCATCATCGAAATAGAAAGAGCATGCGACATAGATGCAGTTTTGAATTTGATGCAGAGATGTGGTGACCCAAAATTCGCGTGGAATTTTGTACCTTTGACATCGAACAAGCAAACAATAGAATTTCGGAAACCTCCAGGAAGCGAAACGGCCGACGAAGCCCTTTGCTGGGCCGAGCTCGCATTGAACTTCATCCAAGCATCTCTCAGGTACGGATCCTTTACAGATCTAAAGAAATTCCCCCAAAACATCAAAGGTCTACGCTCGTTCTTGGAGAATGGTCAAGATCCTAAGATCAGTGATCCGGACCGATTGCAGATGTTGTGGGCAAACCAACCCCCGAACGCAGCCATAGCCCCTACAGACTCGGGTTCACAAATGATTAAAACGAAAGAGGAACTCCATATCATCGCTGCGGCGGACATGAGACACAGCCGGAGACATCCGATATTCAAGTAAGTATCTTATGCAAACAAGGAGCAAGAATCGGTTTGTGCGTACTGGTGCTAGCATATCCTCCGTTATTCTGCTCCTCGTCCTTGACGCGCGCCCGGGTAAAATCGATCCCTGCTGAACTCGGCGACCAACAGGTTTCTCAATTCAGACTTGCACACAGAGACTCGTACCAAGAACACGTCGTGCATGATACCCAACGGCCAGAGGCCAGACTTGTAGGTACACTACCACAAGTACACATCTGATTCGTCAATTGGTGCACAATCCCATCCCCCATCCCAAGGCGTGGGTGAGAGAAAGGAACCAGCTGCAAAACAAAAATACACAATGCACAATGACCCTAGCGAACCAGTGAATCCTTCGACAGAACTAAAAGGAATCTGGCATCAACAACAACAACGACAACGACAACACTCTCAAGCTCCAACCAAGCGACTTCCCCGTGCTAATTCCAGAAAACATACTTACCTACCTATATACACACCGACCTATTCATTCCATCCAAAACCGAACCAAATCCATCTCATACAATCCAGAGGGAGTTATTTCCTGCCCTCAGACACACAACACTTACTCCGCCCCCGCGCTTCCCAACCGCACGCAGTGCAATGCAACAATGCAGTCTTATTCTTCGCTGGTCAAAGAACACGCCCGCGTGTTTAGCGATCAGACATGTTGCCTTGCATGTGGGGGTTTGTAATTAAGGTTGTGATTTTGTGGAAATGTGTGTAACTACATGTCCAGGTCATGGGGTTCAGACTCGTGATGGCGGCTAAGAGGGAGGGCTTCAAGTCAAGGGCCAGGTAAGTGCACCGGTGAGATGAGATGAGATGACTTTGGGCACATGTGTCTACTCTTTGCTTTAAGACCGCGGCAACTACCTGCATGATGACTCCTGCTTTGCACGCTTTCGTTTTTACATGTTCTGTTGTATGGCATTACTTCGCTGTTTATATCGTGAGCTCAGACTGCAAGCCTCCCTATTACGATATCCAGAGTCCTCTAAAGCCATATATTATATAACTATCCTACGATTCCCTCCTCTTCAGATCCAGGGGATACTCGGTACTCTCAATCTCGCTCGGATACTCCAACCCACCCTGCCTCCTCACCTCATCCATAACATCCATAATCACCGTACTCTCCTCCCAGGACATGGCCTCACTTTCCAACTTCCCATCCCGCCAACACCTCGCCGCCTCATCCGCCTCCCAATACATGCCCTGCCCTTCACCGGGAAACTCAAATTCAGAGACCTCCGGATTACCCTTCTCACCCTTGTCTCGGTTGCGGCAGGGAATGTATGTGTACTTCGAGGGTCGGTATGCAGGGCCGTAGACTTGGATCTCACCCTTGGTACCTTGAATCCTGATTGCCGGACCCGCGGAGTCGAGGTTATCCGGGTCGTCGTCTACTCTTAGCGCTGTTGTGGCGATGGCGTGAGCGGTAGTCTGGCTGGTGGGCGTCGATTTCGGGAACTCAAGGAGCATGGTTGTCATCTCGTCGGCTCCGGTACGCGGTTCGGGCGTCATGGATACACCTTTCACCTTGGGCGGTTGACGTTGGTTGGGCGGGAGGGTGTGGTACAGGGTTTGGAAGACCCAGGTTAGGCTGTAGATGCCCAGATCGAGGAGACAGCCCCCGGCAAGATCTTTGTTGATCATGCGGTTGGATACAGGGAAGTTTTCTTCCGGGGGTAAGCCGATGGAGAGATCGGCGTTGACGCGGAGGACTTCGCCCAGGTCGCCGGAGGTGATGCGCTTGCGGATTGAGATGGAGAGGGGGAAGTACCGCGTCCAGACAGCTTCCATGAGGAAGAGGTTTTTCTGCTTGGCGGTCTTGTAGAGGATGCGGGCTTGGTCGGCGTTGACGGTGAAGGCTTTTTCACAGAGGACAGCTTTGTTGGCTTCCAGGCAGAGCATCACGTTTTGGTAGTGGTGCGAGTGCGGCGTTGCAACATAGATGATGTCGACAGCTGGGTCTTTGACCAGGTCGGTGTAGGAGCCATATGCGGAGCACTTGGGATTGTCCTCATTTTGCCTTGGGGTGACATTCTCGGAGATGAACTTCTTCGCGCTCTCGATTGAGGAAGATGAGGCTACTGCGGTCACTTGGTGGAGGATATCTGTTGTCCCTCGGGTTTGAGGGTCAATTAGGAGGTCTTTGGTGAAGGTTCGTGCTATTCCGCCGGTGGCTGTATATGACGAGGTGGGTCAGGCCTGCTGTGATGGCGGGGTGAATTGGTGGGATGGTGCTTGCTTACCCATGATGCCCCAACGGATAGGGGTTGGTTTAGACATTTGGTTGGTTAGCACGATAAGCTGGGACTATTTGCCGGCCAGAGGATTTTTGAGCTTTTGCGGGAATACGAAGGGTAGTTAGTGGGCTTCTAGAGGAAATTCTAGTGCCTGATACAAGCCGCTCTCCAGAGTATTACTTCGTTCCACCGGATGAATTGCGCTCCAGATAGGCATGAAGTGGTTGTACGTGCGGAGTAGCAAAATTATTTGGTGTGGAGAAGAGGTGCTTGGCTGCATTGCTGCGGGGGGGGAATTGGGGCGGGAAAGGTTCCTCCCATCCTGCATGCTGCCTCGATTAGCATGCTAGGCACACTTTAAGCTCAAATAAAGTTATTCTGAGACATGCTCATCAACCATCTCTCCTGAATGTAAGTTTAATGAGTCCCAAAGAAAAGACTACAATATTCTTCACTCCCAGATTACTTCTAACACAAACAAATCTGTTCGACCGATTACAGCAAGGGTTGTTGCAATTTCAAATCGTCACGATCGACGGCGCTAACAGAGGCATTCCCCCCCTCTGCCTATGCACGGACGGGATGCATGGCAAGAAGCAACCGGAGATTCAGACAACACTTGTGAATCCACAGGTTGGTCGCGGACATCAGGCATCCTAAGACGCTACGTAGTACTCTGCACACCATTCGTTACCCTCTGCAAGGTGATAGACCGGAAATGCAGTGACAGAAACCAGCGAAGCTTTTCATTCTGGGAGCATTATGCGCTACACAAAATATCCAGTGTCGACCTTGGACAGCCTGTTGTCCGCTAGGTACGTTTCTCAGAAATTGACTCATGAGGCCGGAATTGCTTCTCATCAGCTATATAGCAACAAACTTGGGTCTACTGTCAATCAGCTTGACATAGAACCTCTGCTGTGAAAAACTTCTCCCAGACATGACCTAATTAGCTCGAGGGTCGTGAAGCTGTGCTTGAGCAAATAACGATACAGCCTTCACCACGAGACCACGGCCGAAATTGGCGGTGGCTTCGATCGGTTCGCTTCCAGAACCTATTTGTGGACGATGCTGCATGGCTGACACGGTCATGGTTCTGAGCGAACGCTGAGACACTGAGGCAGATCTACCAAGAGCGAGCTCGTCGTGTGGATTTGGAATCGAACATATTGTGTTTCCTATAAGGTATAGAGCTTGTCATGGAGTAAAGTACATATACGACTTCGAATCTTTGAGAAGCGAGCACGCGTTAGAGCTTGCTGGACTAAGAGACTTTTACTTCATTCAGCAAGCATGAAGATCAAAATCAATGCTCGATCACAATGAGAAATTAGTAACATTGCACCGACCTTCGTACTAACCAATGCCATGTCCTCTCCGTACAGAGAGCGTGGATATTGTGTCGGTCCTAAAATAAACCTATTTCAGCCGATTCGCAACTGTCCTGCTGCCTCTTTCCGCACTCCGACGGGAAACGGAAGTATGTTTTCTGCATATGTACAAATAACACCTTAGATTCGACAATCCAATAGTCTTGATGCAGGGAGTTGCTGTGCCTGTGAGATATGCTGTGATGATTGGCTTTCCATTTGTTGCATCGGCCTGTGAGTGGACCGAACCCTGATCATACGCAAGGCCAACAAAGAGAGGCATAGAGCTTTTCAATCCCGGTACTCTTGTATGCGGAGCTTCTGACTAGTGTCGGTGAGAATGCGGTAAATTCATGGCTCCAGTACTCGCTCGAGTGGCCAGTCGTATTGCGTTTCTGCCATCGAAGGCACTCCATCAAGGAATCCCCTCAGACCCACAAAGGGGAGACGGCAGTCGTTCCGTTTAAGCCGCATCCTATTACCGAGACGTCATTAGAGGCTATCTCGATTTCTGTGCCAAACTGAGCCAGCTACATTGGTCATCTGTTAAACCAAGAGTGCAGAAAAGAGTTCAAAGGCAGCGCGCATCACAAATGATTGGGATCTTGGAATTTGGTAGTGCCATAGCCGTCGCCTAACGATGTGGAGGGAAGGCCTCGGGATGACTTTCGACTGCAGTGATTGGAATAAGATGAAAGCGGAGCGCCCGTTTCTCCATGCCGATCAAAGACGTGAACGACATTTTCAAATCAGCACGTGGCCTGAAGACAACTTCCATCCGAATACGTGCAGGAGGAGAGTGCTCATGGCATTCTGGTGCATGCAACTGTTGGGCACTTGCTGGCACCTGGTTTCGACTATTTCAAATTCTGAGTCCTGCTACATTGGCTTAGCCTGACAGATGGTACGGACTACAAGTACTGGCGGAACTGGAGCTAACGTTAGTCCGGCTTAAACCCTGAGTTCGGGTTGATCTCTCCTTTCATTTCTCAAATACTCGACAGGATCCTCAAATCAGGCGCCGTATTATCATTTACGATATACTTTCACCCCCATCCTCGTATTCATCACTATGCAATCTATCTCAAATTGTACGAGGCACAAATAGCTACTAAAGAACGAAGCGCATTCAACGATTAGTTTCGAAGGCTGAAAGTACCTAGCCTTGGCTTCTACCCCGGCTAACTCCTCAGGCTTGATGACAGAAGAGGAATTGAATTTTCTGATTCCATAACTAGTATGCCATGACTTGTGACCGAAGTGTGTGACGGGCCAGCCTGCTGGCTGACTCGTTGCGTTATATTTCGTACCCTGGTTCTTCGGTCTCCGATTTGTCGTCCGTCTGTAAGGCTTCATATTAACCATGGTTAGGCGGAACATTATCCACCCAGGATCCAAAGTCTTAAGGTGCGGGAGATCAACATCGGATATCATCGACTACTAGTATTGCCAGACCGGAAGCAAGCCGCATTAAAACTCGCCTGATATAGCACCGTTCACAAATAGTCTATCCTCACTGAATTTTCAGAGGCACGCAAGAGGACGCTACGCATTTCCAGTCTTAGCTCTAACCTGTCAACCACGTCTTCGGATAGATTCTGACTCAAACTGTGCCACTCAGGCAACAAGATTAGACGACATTCATGCCATGGCAGATAAGTCTGACCAGTCACCACCTTCCCTATGGAGTCGGTCCAAACGTTCTCTTGGAGGAAAGGGCCTTACCTTCTTACAGCATACTCCAAAGGGTTCTAAAGGTGAGCAAGCCCCCGGCTTTCTCGTGTTAGCCGCCACGCGTGTGCTTTTTACAAATACTTGACGTCCGACCCACGTGCCAACAACAGACGCCCAATCCGTACCTTGACACCAATGATCCGAATATCAAATCGTGTCGATCCAAGTGACATGGGTTTGAATATCTTTTGTCATGGCGTCGAATCCTACATGCCAATCATCTGTCCAACTGAAACGTCCATAACGAAACCCAACATGGCGCGCGATTTCCCTCTTCATCAGAATCCGTGGCGCATATCAACTGGAATTAAAAAGGCTAAGCACTGTGCAACCAGATGACATCCAATTTTCAGATAAAGGCGAAGCCGCCAAAAATGCCCATGCTCGGCGAAGAGAGCAAGTCAGAAAAGCTCAAAGGTCACTGACCCTATTTATATCAGGTTATCTCTCCTTATTGATAAGCCTTTTAGAAACCATCGTGAAAGGAAAGAAACATACATCAAGTCTCTCGAGCAGCAAGTTCTCCAGCTTCTCAATCAGCAAGCAACCGCGGCAGCAGAGAAGAGAGCCGTAGAAAGGGAGAACACGATGCTCCAAGGACTACTTCACCGACATGGCATACCCATCCCAAACGAAGCTGGTGGTTTTGGCCCAACTGCTAGTATCTCGATGCTCGATGTGCCTGGTGGCCAACAAAGGCTGCAAGTGACGATGCCTGAGACAACTTCAGATTACTTTGCAACTTTCGATACCTCACGCTCCTCACTTCCACGAGGCAACTCAAGCCCCCACCCTCCGGATGCTGAGATGCGGCAGCTTTCCAGTGGTGCCAGTGGCGTATCTTCTATTCCACCTCCAGCCTTTCAAACACGCCTACCATCGGAAAGTGTTCAGATCCATCCTCCCACCACTCCTCAGAAGAGCCTGCCTCCCTTGCCGCCTTCTGCACCTCGGCAACCAATCCCTCATCCTTATGGACTAGACGCTCCCCAGATTGGAATCGACTTTGTACTGGCTCTCGAGAATCCATGCTTGCATCACACGTCGAATGACCTTCAGTCGGCGGAGACTTATGGTCATATCTTGACTACCCATGCACCCTTGCTCACTCATCGACCACGCGCTCCTCAGCCGACCTCATCCTGGACAATTCCTGCGGCAGAAATTGAGCGATTGTTGAACCTTAGCTCTCAACTCAACCTCGCTGGCGAAATTACTCCTGTTCAGGCATGGTCCAGGATCAGATCGTATCCCGGATTCGAAAAGTTGAACCTGGATCAGCTGGAAACGCTGGAAAAGGCACTTCTGAAAGAGGTTCAATGTTATGGGTGGGTCGACATTAGGTCAACACAAGGAAACTATTGCTGACTTATATGCCTAGGTTTGGCGCAGTCATAAATGAAAACGCCTTTGACAACATACTACAACAATGCTTTTACGGACTGCAATAATGTCTACACCGAGCAGCAAACTTAACCCTACAAATGTCGTTCTAGCGAAGCTCAGTCACACACTCTTGCAATTTTACAGCCTACCAACCCCCATGTCTCCAGATTCTTGACTAATAATGTGCCTCCGAAGTACCCTTGTCCCAGCATATCGCGGGTGATGCTTATAACGATTCCATTTACGATACTTCGTTGATCTTATCTGCAAGCACAGCTCCGGTGGAGTTATCCACAATATCTGCTCTACAACTGTTTCCTTTAGCTGTTCTCGATCATCATCTTCACATGATAACGCCGCTTACCTGCTTCAACCGAACATTACTACGGAATATGCCGCCGCCAAAACAAATATTCACTATTACCGCTCAAGACTTGGGCCGGGACTGCATGATTAATTCACTAATCGTCGGCTTGTAGCAAGCACTTCATCATATTGAACGTTTCCGAAACGCTTCACCGACCATCTTCCATCATTGCACCTACATACGACTCCTATAAGAGTAGTTTGTCCTACGCCCGCGCAGATCGTTGCCATCATATTTAACGATTACCACCAAGTTCCGCCGCACAAGTGCCACCACTTCAAGCCAGCTAGAGTGACACCGCTCTTCTTCCAGAAACCGTCTCTGTTTATCTATGAAAGCATAAAGACAGCTATTGCATCCACTTTGATTGCGCCCCATCTTACCTCAGGAAATCCGAACTAGAATCACAAAGCCGAAGTTCCCCGGTCTTAAGATGGCTACCGTCGATTCAGTGACTGGATCGACCATGCAAATATTGTCGACACGTTCCGTCGACACCAGCAATTTTATCAAAGAGTGCATCAACTGTGGCCGTAACTCCGAGTCTTGCCCTTACTGTGGCGGGACCAGTTTCGACGCCGACGCGACGAAAACCTGGTGTCGCGGATGTGGCAGGGTTCAATAGAGCCAACCGAAGTGAGGCGGATGGGCGTTCTCACGCACAGTGGAGGTACCCGCTGACCAGGCTCGTTCCATCTGAGCAAGTCGAGCTGGAAATATTGTCATATCTTGATTAACAAAAGATGTGGGGTTGAATTTCTGGAATTTGAACGGGGCATGCAAACTCCCAGAAAAGGCCTCGATGGCACTTTGGCCCTTCATTACTCAGACTGGAGAACCAACGAGCTGGGTTTTGATGACGTGGAGGCAGGATGTCCCGAGTGAGCAATCTTTCGAAGCCGGAAGTAATTGATGGTAGGTTTCAAGGGAAATTTGCGGAAGGCGAGGGACGATGTTCTCTATCATAATTCTCTCTCAGCAGAAATTGCAAAAAAATCAAAATCAAAACTACCAGAAGCCATATCAAGGTCTGTACTGATCCGTCGCAACATTCCTGTAAATGAAAATTTAGACTAAGTAATGCGGATTACGTTATTGCCGTTCTTGCCCGGCGGGCATATTAAAAGTCCTCACACTGGGCTGTTCACGAGTACGAATTTTGACCCATAGTTATTGCCGAGACGCCTACGTGATAGTGGATGCATGGTGGGGAGAGGTGCCCAATGCTCGGTGTGCTGTGGGGGGTTGCCTAAGTTCACCTCACCATATTTCAGCATCAGTGCTGGCACTCCAAACCGGTGCTTTCAACTATCGCAGAACTCCAATTGGGACTACAGCAGATGGAAATAATGCAGGATGCTCTTAGCTGCACAATATCTGACACCATGCAGAGCAGTTTTTTGGGGACACCTCTTGAGTAGATCTGTACCGGCTATTCTGTCGTTGATATCTGGCCAAGAGCCAAGACCTATCTGTTTGGCCTCATGGGAGCCTTGACTACTACGTAGATAGCGGCTAGTTGAGGCACCGTCACGGCAGCATCCGAAAAGTCTTCGCCCAATGACCCCCAGTACTAGCCACCTCTGATGTCAAATGATTCCTGTTGAACAGGTTAGAAGAAATGGCTCTGTTCTCTCTCAAAAGCTGCGCAGGGCGCAGCAATAAGTACAAATTTGCAGCGAAATTTGCAGCCGAAATTGCGGCAGAAAATAGCGTCTGACGATCCCAATGCACAATTTAAAAAAAAATAAAAATACATTTCTCACAGGTCGCCTGTAAGTATCTTTAATGGCACCCCCCACCACCCTTCCCAGATCCCTAACCACAGCCCAAAAACCAAAAATAAAATATAGCTACTTCACCACCCCTCAGACCCGGACTTTCAAATAGGGGTGATATGAGCGTAGCCTAGGTTTGGGGAAAGCTGAAAAACAGGCCAACTTCAACTTCCACTTTCTCCCCTCTCCAGGTACGAAATTCTCGGAGCAAGAACCCTAAAGCTTTCCCCTCCTTGTGCACCGGCCTTTGTCTCTCCTTTCTACGCTGTCGGCCTTAATTCAGATAGTTGATTTCTCGTGCCTACTGACTTTCTACCTGTTGCATCCATTGTGCCAAGTTTTTTGGGGGGCGGGGAGGGGGACTCGGGAGATAAGATGTACAGTATCTATTCTCAGCGTCTCGGTAGCCAGCAGCAGCAGAAGAATAAATGGAGATGTGGCTTCAGATTAGAATCTTGTTGAGGAGGAGGGGCGCACATCTTATGTCCAGTAGAGATTTCATCCCTGTACAAAGACGGGAACAAGTCATTGTTTTCTTTTCCGGTCTCAAGAGGTACTAGTGTCGAGGTTTGTGATTTCTAGACCAAGAAGCTCAGATCTAATCTGACTGGTACTCTAGCTGTAGCTGCTGTACAGAACGACAGGATTGAAAAGTCAAATCCGTTTTTTTGGGGTTCCTGTCCTCCCTTGTCTATGGTGAGATATCGCAGACAAACAATTAGCGTTATCTTCGTATGTACAAACTTCGCAATTCCGGATCCTCAAACTAAATCAAAACAAAACTGGCAGCGCGAAATGGGCTTGCGTGAGCACTAGGCAGCGGCCGCTGACTTGGATGTTCAAAAAACGTACTACATCACCAGCACCACCATAATAGTCAGCAAAATCGGATTCAAGGCGCAGCAGCCAGCCACCTCAGAACTTGTAAAGATTAGATATTCGGAACTCACCGGAACAAACAACCATGGCACCCTCCTCTCGTACTCCCTCCACGCGTCTCCATACTTCGCTCGGCAGCGCTGGATATCCCTGACGGCGCGATGGGTGATCATGCAGGCGAAGAAGACCGGATAGAACCAGGGGAAGGGGGATTTGAAGCCGGTGACGGCGCCCCAGGAGAGCGCGAAGAAGAGGTCGCACGTGTAGTGGATCTTGCGGGCGTAGGCGTCTGGCATTTTGAAAGAATTAAGGGTTAGTTGGGGTGGATTTGAATTGGAAAAGGGAGGGAAAGGTTTGGTTCGGAGGAATGAGGAGGAACATACACCAGCCATCGACAAAGATGACGTCTCCGCTTGCCGAGGGGATTGTCTTTGGGTTCTTGATCGTCCGCCACGGCAACCGCGGGAAATTCCGGCGTTCGATGTCGTGCCCTGTAAGTTGGGCTTTGAAGCGGTTCTTTTGGCTGTTCGCCGTGTCCCAGATCCAGTATACAAAGAGATAAAGCACGAATAGGCCGGCCAGAGCGAGCCGGTTCCAGCGGTAAATACTTGGATCGTGATTCGCGAGGTAGATGGTACAGTGACAGTAACTCAGCGGTACACCCGCCAGATTCCAGAAGATCAGCATGAACCCCCATTTCTCGTAGTACATGTCCCAAGTGGGCACAATGCACTCCTCGCCTTTTGAGCAGGCGTTCGCGTAGAGGAAGTGCGCCATACACAGAAAAGCTACCTCGCCGGAGACGTAGCCGTAGGTTTCGTATTGGCGGGCTGCTGTCCCTAGGGTGACAAGCAGGAGAATATACCAAGGCAATCGGACCTCAAAAAACATTTTGAAGTCTAGCAGACCGAACATTCGTGGGTTGAGCTCGGCGCCCATGAAGAAATCGTAGATCGGATAGCCAGTCATGCGGTGGGTGGCGCCGCGAAGGATCGCGGAGGCATACGCGAGGATGGAGACGAGGAAGCCGGAGATGATGGCGACAGACATCAGGGGCCCGAATTCGTCAATGATGGTGTAGAGTTTGAAGATGTTGGTTAGGTGGAGAAGGGCGGCGACGAAGAGGGTTGTGTAGAATGACCAGAGGGCGGAGCAGTAGTAGGTCAATTGCTTGTTGTTGGCATGGCGGAGGGGTTTGCCTTTGGTGTAGATTCCGGGGAGGTAGAGATAGCAGGCCGCTTCGAAGAGGAAGAAAGTCCAGTAGATTGCCCATGCTTTAAGGGACGGGAATGCGCCAGTGTAGATTATTTGACCCATTCTGCTAAGGAAGGTGGTCAAGGATTCGCTAGGAAGGGTGGTTGGGAAACGCCCATCACAGTATGTTGCTCCGATCCACATGTAGTACATGAGCATTGGAAATCCTATCATCATTGCTGAGACTCCCCATGATCCACCAAATTCGAAGTGGCCGGAACTATCAACTCGTGCGTCTGTTCCTTCGTACCATCCATCAATGATTCGCGGAGCGTTGACCTCCTTGCTTCCGTGAAGATGACTGTTCGGAAGGTGTCCATTGGGAAGATGCCTGTCTGGCATATGGCCTTTGGGAGTCTGAGTGGTCTGTTTTCTTCTCGAGAAGTCCTCTATCACTACCTCAACGGTGTCATTTATGGGTGGATCAGGCGTCTTGGAGAGGTTTCGGTGAACAGCAACGGTGCCTGATACTCGTGAACGCGATTTTCGACCAGGAGTCTCAACATAACCGGGATGCTGGGTCTTCCTATGAAAATCATAGTCAGGACGGGAGTAGCAGAAGATCATGCTTGTTTACCTGGGTGTTTTACCCGCCTGCGTGCGTGTGACCGTCATGTCAAAGCTCTGAATATTTTCTGGAGAGACTCTGGTGTTTAGCAGATGCTCTTCACGTCATAAAATTAGCATCATAGTTGTACGCATCGCTGGGTGATGCGCGCCTGTTGGTAAGTCTTCAATATACGCTAAATTTAGAGCGTCACTAGCACACTCGATCTAAGCTTTAGCACCGCGTAAAAGATGCGCTATAAGGGTAGAGCGCTAGAGCTGCTGTTATGACCCCCTTATGCTAGTACGGGAAGCGCTAGCTTTTACCTATCTAGTTAGCGTATATTGAAGACTTTTGATGCATAACTTCGTAATTTAGGACATATCAGAAAATCTGGAATGGAGCTGCGGATGTTGGTTTTGCTGCTGCGCCACCCTCGGGCCAAAAGGCACAAAGTAGAAAGCTATCCGGCTTTCTACTACCAACTACTTATATACCAAATCAACACCGTCACAAAATCTTAATCGCGTTTTATTTTCATTTTGTTTCCGGTTCAAGGACCAGTTGTGGAGCAGAATGAATCAAACTCTCAATGGGTAGTGTGTAGCTAACTAGAAATCTAAGATGCAAAAGTTCGGATGAATAGTTCTCTAGGCGCCAAGGCCCCACAACGTTTCCGGGGGCGTTATGCTTATGGGAACTCGGACCAATCGCTTCACCGGAAAGGATATTTACTCCGTACTTTATTTGCCAAGGATACTTTTCTGACGGCTGCTACTAGTACTAGTAGTGGGCGCCCCTTCAAGGCAAATCGTATCCTTCTTGACAAAGGCTCATCATTCCTTGTTCAACAATGATATCTTGTGGTCATGTGGGGATTTGCTAGAGAATGTATTTAGGCAAAGCGAAGTGTCAGAACTGCTTAGGAATCAACGGACTGGGGTCCCATCAGGTACCAATGCGGCAAGCCCCAGCATACTCCTCATATGACGTGTTCATTGGGGAGCCTCTTAAGATCTGTTATTGGACAACTTTCGTCCGGTAATTAGGTCGCCGTCTTCTCCGAGAATACTTTATGACTCCAAGACAACTGATGAGAGAGATCCACGCAACCTACGTCAAAAACGACCTAGGCTGCCACCGTTTTTCAACGCCCTTCAATCTGATAAAAGTATACGTTAATACTTGACGAGTTGCGATATTTGCTTGATCGGGTAGCTTCTTCACCTCTGTCGGCTCATAGCCCATTCAGGTTGAGTGCGTTGAGAATCTCCTATGTCGGCACATTGACAAGCCCACTGACGCGATTGGCTAACGAAGGATCGAGGAAGTATAGACTGTTGCAGAAACTTACATGACTGAGACTTTATGCCTTCTTCGAGCGCCTGGACCAGTTTTTGCTTGCTGGCGATTGGTATAACGGCTTTGAGCATTGGCTCCAAGTAGCGTCATTATGCTTCACTATACTTTGAGCAATACCATGCTGTTCATACTTCGGGGAAGCAGCCACAACCGTTTCAGAGCAACCAGAGGTCCGATTTAAGTCTTATTGAGTCTCGCGCACCAAGGAAGGTAGCAAGCCTGCAACGTGACTGAATACCAAAATGATCAAATGTTTTCCATACTTTGATGAGACTCAAATGGCCGTTGCGATCGAAGTACCGCCCTTCAAGGAGTACAATCAGCTAACGATGAGGACTATATAAACAACCTCCGCTTGTTTGAGAATGAGAGAAGACTAAATCCTATTCAAACTTCGTCCGGACTAGTATACCAAGTATCTTTGCCGATAAGACCTTACCCTCTTTACAATCCGTGTATACCTCTCTCGAGTACATTATCCGATGGAATCGGGCAAGAAAGGACAACAAGACCCCAAAAAGACTGACGACAAGGCCGTCCAGAATCCGGCGAAGGAAGTAGTGCCGCAGCGCTCCAGTCTCCATCGTGGAGGTGCAGGCGACGGCTCGGAGGGAGAAAGCTGCACTGGTCAGGTTTATAGTTACTCCATGGAACGCTGGTTGGCCCAGAAGCCTTCTGAGGAGCCTTGGAATCCCCTGGTAAGCTATTACCGCAGACATATCCCAACGCCCAAAACTATATTCACATGTTGGAACAGGTGGAGAAGACTAAAGGACTAGGCAAGTGAATAGTATAGGGCTAAGCACAACTATTGTCGGTATAGAGACTTAAAAGATCCATCTCAACTCACCAGTTAGGCTCTAGTTATAGTACTGTTGCCATGGGCTATCAATTTCTATATCCAGTTTCAAACCTCCCAATCCTTTGAGACCTACAAGGTTAAGGACTCTCAAGGATTCCGCTACCATAATAGCAACTAGAGATTGAGACAATTCTTTGATCCAAGCTTCCTTCTCATCTGCTTTTTCAGCGTCCCGTTCAACGTTCTCAGAGAGTACGAGTTCACGCCAATTACAAGTCTCGTCATCATGATGAATACACGAACAGCGCTGTGCACGCGTTGCCTGGCCTCTCCCACCTCGAATGACGATAGCGAAGCCCTGAGATACCGCAAATAGCTGAAGACGTCGAAAACAGTGTTCAAATGAGTCGAATATCTATCCTTTAGAGGATTATTTGAGCCACAGAGGGTTCTGACTGTTGACAAATCGCTCAAGGGCAGGCCGAACGTGTACAGGACACTGCCACTTAGTGCAGGCCGCTTCCGTCCTCGTTCTCAAGTTCGACATCAAGGTACCTTCGGGCCACGACATGGTCTTTGACCTGCTTCCGCCGCATCTCTAGCTGTAGACTAAAGATCGAATTGGACGAACGAGAACATTGTATTCTGTAGTACGGAAGAAACATGGAGATGTATGGGATAAGTTTGTCCGATTTCTGCAACGACGGAGCCACGAGTCCATTCATCATCGAGAAAAGAGCGGACCTGTATAGCAACATCAACAGGATCGAGTGTTTTAAGTTCTAAGCAGCATCGCTATCTCCGTACTCGGGAGAATCTTGACAACGAGCTCTCTAAAATTAACTTGTTGAAGTGCGCTGCGAAAACAGCCTCGCAAGGCGGATTTACCCGTTTGGTCAACTTGAGGAAGACGAGAGACATGGGGAATCCAACGTACAAGAGATTCAGGAGAGCATTTAGAACTTACAGCCCGAGGGCAACTCAAGCTTATGTTGCCGTCCCTGGTTTTCTTGTCTGGTGGAGAATCATGTCAGAGTGGAATCTAAAATCAGGAAACCACACGAAATTATTAGCGGACGACAGTAAACAGTATAAGCTCATCGAACTCCTCGGTGTCGTCTAATATACTGGCACAATCCACAGTTTCATATCTGTACCTAGCTCGATGATTCGTGTTACAGGATAATCATTTTCCCTGAAATGGTTTCTCATCTTCGCCCAGATCCAGAGATGAAACGCAATTTCCAGTTAGTACTTTTAGGGGCTCTCTCTAATATGGCGAATGTGGAAAATCGTCAATTTCTGCTCTTGTATGAGGTGGCTTGGGTGCTTCTTACATCTTGATGATGGACGTGAGCAAGTATTGCAGCGTTTTAATGTTTCCGAGAACCTCACCACTGCTTGCCTGTGCGTAAGGGCGATGAGCTCTGATTAGCATCCATCACCTGTCATGCAACTTCTCCAGCGCTGTCTCCAACAGCGATGACCCAAGAAATGCCACGGGTACATCCTCATACACCGCCCCATTGTCATCATGTTCCCAAAGCGGCGACTTGGCGAAAAACGCATCTCCACAGAACCCCGTATGCTTACTCAACGGCATAAGATGCAAAGCGAAGCTCTTCCACCCGAAGTAGACCCCGTTAAGTTCTGGCGCCGCTTGTTGGTCTCGAACCTCCATCCCTATAATGTCACGCCATTGGAACCCTTCTCCGTCACCCCAGTAGGGCCGGAAGTCCGGGATGTGGCGCTGGCAGCAGTCGATGTTGTCGTCAGACTCGATGGTGTTGAGCTGGACGAGGTGCGGTGGGGAGCCGTCGCCTGGGATCCGGAGGACACGGAGGTTGGTTTGGCGGATGGTTGGCTCGATTTGCTGGCCGGTCAACCAGCTGAAGAGTCTGGAGAGCATTGTTCCTCCCGCTGACTCACCCCTTTCAGAAGCGTAATGTGAAGCCTACACGCCGCTTACCCTCTCCGTTGGGGAGGATGAGGGAAACGATGGGAGTGGCAAGAGCGTGGGGAGATGGAGGTAATTTTGGCGTACGCCGACTCACCATGGGGAGCTAGGAGTACCGTTCAACGATACCTAGCGGGGGCAATTCCCAGCAAAATCCTGGAAACTGCTAGCCAATCAGGGTTGGTTGTGCTGTCGGCGGCGGCAGGGAGAAAGAGCGCCCAAGAATACGGTTCAATAGTACTGATGAATCGTCGAATTAGTTCAACGATGGTCAAGAGCTGCGGGAATCGTGTGGTAAGGGCTCAGAAAAGAGAAAGATCAGAGCTAAAGGGGATGATCAGGAGGGAGCTGAGGGGTTCGGGGTCAAGAAAGGGAGTCCCACAAGGCTGACCGGAAGGGGGTTTGAGGGAGAGGACGGTCACTTGCGGATAACGTTGAAGGACCAATTAAGAGGATCGATACAGCGTTTCCAGGGTCTCTCCCCAGGGAGGTTTCGATCATGTGTACACTCTGCGCGGTCTCCCAGTTCTCCCTAGGGAGGGTCAGAGAGTGTATAATCGGTCATGATGGTCGTTATAACCCCCATTTCCTTCAGGCGGTGCCTGGATGCTGTTGTGCTCACAATCTGTAGTGACAGTCTTTTTGTGCATGATCTGCTGATCCAAGATCAAAATGTCAAATAGCTTATACATGTCGCTTTTTCCAACAAGCAATAGATTGTTCACGGAAGGGTTGTGCTGGAGATCGGACTGTTGACACTTTCCTGCAAGGTGCTCTAGTACTTCTCCCCAAATGTGTAAACAGCCGGAGATACAACACCTGCTATCCGAGAATAGTAAAGTGCCTGAGGAACTTCTGGTGCGCTGTCTGATGAGGTCGTCCTCGCTTTCATGGGGACACGGTTCGATCAAGGCTCACTTTTCCGTGGTCCACGGCTCAATCTCACCACCAAAGCCAAGAGAGCCCTTGCACTTTACTACGTGGACAACTTGTAAAAGAAAACGTCTCATCCTCCGCACAGGCATGGACAAGTGAGCATAACCAAGTTCTCACTTATCCACCTCTACTGGACGAAGCTGGAATGTTTAAGGGCCTTGGGGGCCTAAGGCAGAACAGGGTTAATCAGAAGCTGCCGAACATGATAAACATTAACTGATAGGTTATCTTTGATTGACATCTGCTATTCTATTGTGTTAGGGCAACATGCTTGTTTGTGAGCCATAACAGCACAATGACCACAATTCAACAAAGTATGAAGCCAGCTCTGGATGACTGTCCTCATGCGCCTCTGCGGGCGTTTGTAGACATCAGAGTAATCTTCTTAGTTTTCTTTTTTCTTCCAGTTCCAGCCGTTGATGTAACCTTCGAACTTCCCTCCCCAGATATGCTCGCCTCGGCCATGGCAGCTGCAAAATCGTTGTCGAGGAGGTCACGTTCCCACCCCTGTAGCCAACCATCGTCTATAGCTTGACCTTCTTGTGGTACGGGTTCAACATTGGGAGATAGAGGAGCAACAGCGGTTGTGCCCCAGACAGTGCGGTGGGTATCGGGGCTGGTCCCTGGGGAGGCAAGAGTGGCAAAGGAGGAATGAACCCTTGGTGCCATCCATGGAGGAGTACTCGATATGGCACTAGTATCATCCAGAGAAGATCCAGCGTTTGCGGGGTCTGGGTGAGCTAATGGTTGAAAGTCACTTTCGGAAAGGCTCTTCTCAATGGCGTTGGGCCGTTTCCGGCGTGCAGCAGCCCATCTTTTGTCGTCCTCCTCTTTCTCCGCTCGAATTCGTTCCCTCTCCTCGCGCATATCCTTGTCCTGATTCCTTTTCCTTCGTCGTGTGATGTCGTTACCGTAAGTTGCTAGAACTGTTGGACTGATGATGTCGGTCCAGTCACATTCAAGAAAGCTCACCTCACAGCCGTATGGCAGATGAGCCATATATTTTGCTCGCTTTCGAAGCTCATCATCGACAATATGCCCAGTAGAAATATGCTCCACCCGTGGTAGGAGTGTGGAGGGAAAAGCCGAGAAAGTGCCGAAAGCTGCCTTCAGGATCCGAATATCGAGTGGAGACAGGAAGAAGTTTGGTAGAGAGTGGTAAAAGTAGAAGGCATGGCTGTGTGCAGAACGAGAAGCTGATATGTTCATAGTCGATGGACGCAGCTCATGAGCGATTGTCAAAGGGTTGCTACCATTCGTCTCCATGTCTCTAATTGCTTGGGACAGCTTGGCGACATCCTTGTCCGAAGGAATGTCTCCCATAGAACCTTGCAAAGGAGTCTGCGCTGAGACATTGTTGAACGACAGACTCTGGCCAGATGTGGAACTGTGGTAATGACTGTACATCTGAGGTGCGCCATCCGGAGATGGCTGCAATGTGATAGGAGGACGTGTCATCTTCCTCTCCAATGGCTGTTTGGAAGGTCCTGGGGGATTGCCGATTCCAGCCAGTTTTTCTTTCGCATCAGAGATAGAGATCACCGCTTTCTGTGTCCATGTCGTGTCTTCACCAAACATGAGCTCATCCTCTCTTTCTAGATCCTGCAATTGGTTGATCTCCTCGTTATACTGCTCTATCATGTAATCTTCCCCTCCCTTCATGAATCTAGCGTAGTCCATAACCTCTGCAACATGATACCAGGGTATGTCCTCGGTATTGTCGAAGCTCTCCATAGCATCCCGAGGTAATGCAAGTGTACTCCCAGCTTCACGAACGAGCAACTTTAGTAGAACATCTCCTCCCTCTCGCAGCATACTCGCTTCTTGTCTGAGAAACCAACGAACAGGTCGGGTCTCGGAGATGTATATGCTGTCTTCACAGATGGGGCATTTTTTCCAGCGAGCCCGCTTCTCCGGTAGAGGATTCTTATCGTCTGTCGAATGCATGTAACGGATCAGACATGGGAGGCAGCAGATATGACCGCATTTGGCCATTCGGGGTGCAACCGGGGTTGAAAGACATATCGGGCAACTGGCTGATTGAGTCTCAGCTGAGGCCAGTATCTGTAAGACAGCGTCCCAATCCAGATGAACATCAGCATCGATGGCCTGCGTATGGTAATCCCGGTCTGGTCTAACTATGAATCGGTAGTTGGCATGCACGTATCTTGCCTTGTCAATAGCATGATAGCCCGAGCCGATACCCCATGTTGGATTTCTCCTCTGATGACGGTGGTTGTGTGGATGGTACTGGTGCTGTTGAAGATAATGTCGCGGAGGTAAAGAGAAATTCATAAGATGCGTGATAGAGGTTTGCCCCTTGCGACTATTAATGGACTTCATGGCAGCCTGCAGAAGGTGTCAGCTTTGGATGCAGTGATGCTTGCACGGAAGGGAAGAGAAGGCAAGAAAGAATCTATCTTACAGACTCCGCAATCGCATCCTCGTCTGCCAAACGAGCTCTCCGCTGTGCTTTGTGTTGTTTCCGTAGAGGCTGGTTGTTCCTCGCTGTTGGGTTGTGACGTGATGAAGAGCCAGCACCGAAGCTCCCAGAGCTGCCCGCCCTCCGTTGGAAACTGCCGTCAGATGGATTGGTAGGACCAGCCTGAAACTGTGCAGGAGATGAGGACTGGGGATGAGAGTTGACCGTCTTCAAGGATGATGAAGATGCAGCAGCACTGGAAGACATGTCTCCTTGACTCATCAACCAGCCACTCTCGTCTCCTCAGGTCACAACGGGTGAGGCTTGAGTCCTTGACGAGTTCACAGAGGACGACTATAGAGTTGCCCACATATTCACTTTGGACCAACCTCTTGATGACTGTGGCAAGATTGACATCCTCAGGGTGTCGGATGCCACGAGGGGGGGTAACAGAGGAGCACAGTAGCTACACTTCATGACGATGGAGGAGGGGCGGCAGATTGACAACCACTAATCACCCGCAGTTGGAATCACGACGTGCATGGGTCCCGGACTTAACTAACTAGTGAAAACATTAAACGGGATACTCATTTCGCAGTTGCAGTACTGCATCTTAGTCAGTCTTCAGTCTTCAGTCTTCTCACGTCCACGTTTCTGCTCCATCCAGTTTGATCTGTTCCGTCCATATACTGTTCAAGGGGACAAGGTCATACCTACGTGTGTTCAAGCTGCAGGTCTCCATCAACCCCCCCATAAGCCTACTGCCAGAGTGATGCTCTCCGCTTTCACAACCTGACCCAAAGCTACCTTTCCTGCCTTGCAATGGCACATTTACCAGCCAAATCTCAATAATAATTGAACTAGCCGCTACTACTACACGCCCGTAGCAGTCACCCATGTCGCCGCCCTTATAAGGAAGGCGCGGCCTGCCACCCAGCCGCTATCATGAACCACCATCCACCGGGCATGCCGCCATATGGGCAGATGCCAATGCCCCCGCCTCAGAGACGGCATGATATGTCATATTCGCCCATGCCGCCGAACATGAGGCCGCCGCCATCATATCAAGGATATTACCATCCGCATATGGCAGGCCAGATACCTCAGTATGCTCCTCAGTACGCGCCCCAGTGGTATCCATATCAGCACATGCACCATCAGCCTCCACCCCCACGAACATATCCTTCATACCCCCAGCATCAAGTGCAGCAGGTTCATTCGCATTCGCATGCTCCTATGATGATTCCACCCTATGCGCCGCATCAAACTCCTCATACCCCTGCAAACGCGGCTCTTCTACTGCCTCAGCGATCCTCTGCATCACCTTCACATGGCCATTTCACACCGCAAACAAACGCCTTGTCATCGACACCGCTTCAGTCTCCATTTTCCCCTCCACCATCCAGTACGCCAAGTACGGCAAATGCTCAACCAGAAACACCTCCTTCAACCTCATCTGCGGTGTCTCAAACTGCCAGCGAGATTTCTAGTTCTCCAAGTGATCCTTTCTTTCCACCCGTGAGTCTGTTTGCGCACACTTAAATTACTCCCACCTAACCCGCTTGTGACTTTAGTTACCTTGGTCATCTGTTGGTGATTCGCCTTTTCCACACAAAGCAAGACGACAGAGGCGCCGTGTGATGCGCTCCCAGCTTGGCACTGCGCCAGTTGAATATCCACTCAAAGCAACGACTGCAGCTGTCGAGTCATCGCTGGATATTGAAGAAGTCCAACAGCTACCGGAAGAGCAGCTTCCGAGCACGGAACAAGGCCAACAACCCCAAAACGAGCAAGTTACAAGCATACCCGCTCCCGCTCAAACACCAACCACTCAAATGTCTGAGGCTCCTTCAGAGACCGGGTCAACTGACCCGACGACGCCCTCTCCAGTAGTCACTCCACAAGCCGTCAAATCTCAGCCGACCTTCACTGCACAGCCACGAAGTCACAGACCTGTGGTTCCTGTCGTCCCTGCTGTTCCTATACTACCCCTCAGTCCCAAGACATCTCGCTATCGTCACGATTCTGTGAGCGTTGTATCATCAATTTCTCAGACACCGCAGCTCGAATCAAGTACTGAGCAAGCAAGGCGTTCATCCACCACATCTGTGCCGGCAACGTCGGAAGTATCACCCGGAGCATCGGTAGAAACATCCAAGCCTGCTTCACCCCCTGCACCACCAAAGTCTTGGGCTGATCTGGTACGGTCAAATGCTCCGCCCAAGCCGGCAAGTACTGTGTCTGCAAGTTCGCAGATTGCAAATGGACTGGGTCCGGCTAAGAACGAAACCCTTTCAGACGTTCTCAACACGATGGACGTGACAGCAACTCACGGTGCAGCGAAGATTGCGTTCTTGCAACCACGTGGCCTCGTAAATACCGGTAATATGTGCTATATGAACTCGGTTTGCAATCTCTCCTTATCTTTCAGACGATCACTGACGAATACAGGTGTTGCAAATACTGGTCTTTTGTATTCCTTTTTACGAATTTCTTGAGAGACTTGGGCAAAGAGCAGCTCATAGTTTTAAAAGCGATACTCCTTTGATTGACGCAATGTGAGTGATACGTGCGTTACAGTGGCATTTCAGTGCTAATAACCGGCAGGATATTGTTTATTCGAGAATTCCCCATCATCGATTCAGCCGAGTCCTTCGAGCAACTTCGACTTCGCCTGAAGCCAGATGAGCTGGAACAATATGGCGAGCCATTCATTCCTGAATACGTTTACCAAGTAATTCGACAGCTTCCGCGTTTTCGCGACATGCGACGTGGGCATCAGCAAGACACACAAGAATTTCTCGGATTCCTGCTCGAGGAACTTCATGAAGAATGTGCACAAGCAATGCGAAGTGACAGTTCTGTGAACTCTGGTATATCGACTCCAACAGAGAAGTCCTCCAGCATTGCCGAGAGCACAGATCAGGATCCTGGCTGGATGGAAGTCGGCCACAAACAAAAGCCCGCAGTTACACGATCATCAGGTGCGATAGCAAAAGAATCTCCTGTGACCAAAATTTTCGGAGGCAAGCTTCGCTCAGAATGGAAAGTACCGGGGAACAAGAACTCTGTGACACTCGAACCATATCAGCCACTGCAGCTCGATATTGGTTCTCCACACGTGAATAATATCGTCGACGCACTTAAAGGGCTGACACGGCCTGAAAGCATGCAAGGTGACTTCAATTCGTCCCGAGGCAGCAGAGTCACAGCCACGAAGCAAGTTTTCATTGAGACCCTACCTCCAGTGCTCATCCTCCACCTGAAACGATTTCAGTACGACCACACCACCAAGCGCACCGAGAAGATTTGGAAGAAAGTCGGCTATCCACTGGACCTAGTAATGCCACGCGAAGTCTTCCCGCCCTCCGTGCGTAACAAATTAACCGTGCATGGCGGACTCCCCAAATATCAGCTCATAGGAGTGATTTACCATCACGGCAAGAATGCAAGCGGTGGTCACTACACTGTTGACGTGCGCCGCCAGGACGGTAAAGAATGGATCCGCCTCGATGACACGCTTATTCGTAGAGTGAGGAGCGAAGATGTGGCCGAGGGTGGCAGTGAGGAAGATCCGAAAGTTCTGGCTGCGGCCTTGGAACGGCATAATCAACGGTCTACCACTGATCCGGTGGGGAATATGTTCGAACAGATTGAGGATGCAGATGAGAATAAAGAGGGGGATGATGGCGGAGAGAATGCTTGGAGTCAGGTTAACGGCCATTCAAGGAATAGGTCTAGCATGACGGCAGTAGCGGCGGCGGTGAATGGAGGAGAGGCTACGCCAATGTCCAAGTCTGGGATACATACCCCGAGGGATCGATATGCGGTCAAGGATAACAAGGTCGCTTATCTGTTATTCTATCGGAGGGTTATGTCGTGATGGTTGGAATGGGGTGGAGAAAAGGGTGTCGATGGATCTCTTGTATGAAACGGACCCATGTCCCTACCGCTTGGTGCCCATCATCAGAGAATCTTGGTATGCAAATGTAGATAAAGGTGAAGAAGTACATGAGCATGGGTGTGTGTGTGCCGCAATGTGAGTCTCACTCACAGTCATTTTGTGGCGGAAGCAGGATGGGACAAGCAGTCACGGTAGTTAGCTACTACATAGTCAGCTACACCCAGCAAGAATACAAAGAACGCCGTGGTCCACAGTGAAAGGAAAGATGTCCGAATCATCTAATGCACAGTCCGTTGACAAAGATTGTCCTCTTGTGTTACAATTCAGATATTCTACATTCTGGGGGGGCGGGTTCAGGATGTCAGAACTTGCTACATGGTACTTGTAGTTACAGCGGTGAGTACATAAGAAAGAAGTAATGCTGTACCTGGGTTCTATCATTTGAGCGTCACTGACTACTACTCTGATGTACCCGAAGAAAACTTACGTAGTATCTGGATTGTGGGGGAGGCTGACAACATTTTCGCTGGTGATGGTGGTGGTTCTATCGTGCTTTGTAACTAACTGATGGAAACATAGATATCCGAGGGGTCAATGAATGGATGAATGAATGACGGATGATCCGTTCCTGCATGAGATGGCTCTGGCTGTATTTACCAGATGACGATGGGAGAGGGATCTTGTAACTACCATCCCACGTCCAGTACTTTATCAGGGAGTAGAGAGTTAACCGGTTTTTGGGTGTGGAATTTGTCTTTGTGTGCACGAACACAACTTACATTGTAATCGCATGTCAAGTCATTCCATGGTGGTCTCGTTTTCTTATGCTGCTCCTTGGACGATACAATCATTTAGGTAGGATGTGATACGGCTAAATCAGCTACCTGTCTCTTTGTTGAACTGTATTATGCATAAAGGAGCAACATAACTCGTGATGTTGACAACAGGACAGACTGGATCAGATGCCTGACTCTTATCTTGGCGGACATTGTTTGTCTTGGGTACGGACATTGTGTTCGTTAACTACTTAGTATCGATATAATACATTTGTATGCCCGTTGTACTGGATCAACTTTGTCTGTCAGCCGTCTATTAAACCCGCCATCTTTTCCACAGCCAATCTCAGTGTCCATCGTTCAACAACATTGACTACCTCAGCACCGTTTCTCTTCTACTCTCTCTAACTGTCAAACCCACAAATACTGCCTCTTTCAAAGGTCTGTCTCAACAGTGCATCATCATCATCACGAATGGCATGTCGATGCGGACATCCTCATGGGTGCCCCTATGATCACCCAGTTCGGGAAGTAGCTGACACACAAACCGAGGCCATCTATCCGTACGGCCCTGGCGTGATTCCTCGAGGATACGAGTATCCGACTGGTCGTCGGTGGCTAGGTCAGGCTTCACATGTGCCACCTTTCCCTGCACATCCTTTCCACATCGTTCAACGCTCGAGAGTAGTTAGAGAGTATCTGTCACCTTATGCTAGTCCCCCGGTTCACGAAGAGCTTGAGCAAGAGGGCTTACTAGCCAGTCTTTCCTATCGTCCAGCACCACGCTCGCATGCACCTTCTCGCAATGCAAACTTCGAGTCGAGTGTACAGAGGCAGAATCACAACCCAGCATATGATGGCGATGATGCACAGATTGTTCGGTACCGAGACCCAAGTTTTGTCCCAACATCGCCCTACACTTCCAGGACGCGGGATGAACTGAGGTATGATGGCCAGGCACAGGGTACGAACTTGGAACGAAGCTTTGGATCATCCTCACGAAATGGAGCTTTCGAGCCACGGGCACCCATGCAGCATCCGTACTTAGCATACGAGAATGCACAGGACATTCGATACCAGAGTCCGAGCCCCGTACCTAGGTTGAGGTCCGGGTATCTCTCAGGGGAAGACTTGAGGAGGAGTCGACGATTGCACGGTGCGGACGCGAATCGCAGCTATGATACAGCTTCTCCAGATGGACCTGCTGACTGGTTGGCACCAGCACACAGTAAGAGTTTAGTAGAGTATTCCCCACGAAACATCCGCTACCGGCACGTGGGTCCTTTCCCGCCGCAAAGAGATGGGCATTTGCTAAGAGAAGATCTGAAGGGGGATGGACGGTGGCAAGGACAAGCAGAATCCGTTCAGAGCCGGAGGCAGTCTCTAAGAGAATATGTTGAGGATGGCCGGGGGCGAGGGAGGGAGGACCATGAGCGGTATCGTTATGAGGAGGATGGTGATTATGCTGCCAGAGGCTTGAGGGCACACCGGCCCACGAACTCCTCCGCGCCTGCAGATCGATACGAGCTGCAGATTGGTGCAAATAAGAATGTCCGATTTCGTGAGGATATGGATTCAGAAGGTCGAATTCCTGGTCAGTACTCCATGAGTCGAGGATCAAGTACACGACCTCAAGGCCAAATAGCCGATGATAGAGGCTCTTACTACAGATGAGCCAAGGGACCAGCTCAGCGGCTGTAAGAAAGACAGGGAGTGGAGATCGCACGGCACCCAGGAGTTTCCCACTGGATGAAGGGCGCAGGACGTACAGCCCAGGCGCAAGCAACAGGACCGATGTGGATGAAAGAGGCAAGAGCCGCAGAGAGAGCGAGAGAGCGGTGCACCGGCTACTAACAGAGCGAGCAGTCGAGACAGAGAGACGCCTAAAAGCTCCTTACCCCTTCACATGAGTCGGTGGCTAAGATCAAAGGCCGAAAATAGGCTAAGCGGCGTACAAGACCAGCTTTGCGCAATGCTCATTGGTACGGGCAAAGGCAGAGGCGAGTTAAAGTCGAGTTAGCAAAGAGAGTAAAACAAACCAAAATATGAACCCAGGTGTGTCCAATATAGTAGTCGCTGTGCTCATACAGCCGAGTATAGTCTTTGTCATCCTTAGTCTGATAATTTCGTTTGCTGTCACACCGTCACTTCTGCCGCTTCTTCAAAATTAAAAATGCTGTGAGATATGTGGTTCTACGTAAACCAGCATCCTGTGTGATTCTAATACCAATAAATGGGCATAACCGGAGTCTGTCATATACCTAAGGATATTCAGCGTTTATAATCCTGGCAATCCATAGAAGAAGTCCTCAATATGCCTTGGCCAGGTCTCTCGAACTTCCTTACGAGTCGTCCACGCCCCCAACTCGAAGATCCATACGTGACGTATGTACGAAAGCGGTGCCTGGAAAACAATGAACGCTATCGTTGTGGCATTCCAAACCTACCTCTCCTGGAACGTGAAGAATGGGCTCAAGATAGTAAACAAGCAATACTAGATTGGCAAGAGAAAACTGTGCAAAGGCATAACCAAGATGACGAAACCGACTATCGCAATTGGAATGACTTATCGCGCGCGAGGAGGGACAGTGCGATGAGAGATCGATCTGGCAGAAGGACCACCTGGGGGCGAAGTCGAAACGGAGGTGATGAATTTCTTTCATCCTTTTCTGGATCTCAAGAGCCAACAAATCTGGTTGGGGAAACAGATGAAGCATACTTGGCAAGGACCATGCGTTCCCATGGAAGAAGTGGAATGAATCATGCATCAGGCAGAAGCTTTCCCGATCGTGATTTCGAGGATGGAGGAAGAGCAACAGGCGAGGGCGACGATACGAGAGACTCATTCCCACAGGAGAGCAGCACTGGTGCAGCCGGACAGAGGGGTCGGAATGAGCATCTGGATGGAGAAATCCATAGTTCTGCCGCAACGGGTAATACGAGCTGTAAGGAAAGTTGCCGCGATGATGAAGCTGAGGCTTTTCTGAATTCCTCTGGAGATGCTGGAGCTACTGGTAGAGGAAGCAGCAATGAGTGGTCGGATGAAGCGGAAGCATTTCTCAATGCACATTCCTGAATTCGATTCCTGGATGAGGGTATGGGAAGTGCATGCGGAAGTAGTGTCTGCACTTTGCTGAGAACATCTTTCTGTAGAGACTGCAGGGCTTCTCTGGCGTGAACTCTCGGATAGCAAATCAGTCAGGAGCCTGGAGCAGAGAAGACTCTAAACAAGCATGACTCCTCTGATTATGGAGTGCTCAATATATATGTGCACTTTCAAATTTTGACCACCTGCAGAAGGACGGGAAATGGAAGTACAGTACCCGGTCAAAAGTCTCCGTTGATTTCGCGTTTTTCGCGTTTTTTCGCGTTTTGCACCCACAACCCACCCATTCTATCAACGAATTATGCCCCCACGAAGGCCACTACGCGAAATCAGTGGTAATAGGCCTCTTCATCATGAGTTAACGCCTATTGAGCGCGCAGAGATAGTAGGCGCAGCCAAATGTGGAGTGAGATTCGCTGAAATTGGTCGCATACTCAATTTCGCGCCCTCAACCGTCCAATATACCTACGAACTATCTGAACAACGCAACCTCCACAAATCGATCTCGCGTGCGGGCAGACCCTCTATAACGTCCGAAAGAGATAAAAGAGCTATTGTACGATATGCTCGTTCCTATCCCAAATCAACTTATGCACAAAT